ATTTGAAAGGAATGTTATTGAAGAAGGCGGAACGAGTATGGCAGAAGAAAAAATTTAGTTTCAAAAGTTAGCAACAGATGGCGCTGTAAGCGGCAGAATCACGACGAGAAACGAGAAATGTTTCGTAAAACAACGGCTAAGGTGGAAGTTACACATTAAAACGCATTGACAAATTAGAATTGTTGAATAATTTTATTTGCATGACTGTACATATCACATCGGAAGGGACAAATCGGTTGGTTTCAAGAGTTTTGCGGCGGCATACCGCATAAGAACCATTCATCAAAGAAGTTCGGAACTGTCGCAAAACATGTTCAATATGATGTCCACCGTTGTGTGCAACAAGTTGAAAGCGACAAACAGCATGTTCCACAACGGATCGCAGTGTCTCCGGGGTGATGTTCAGAATGTTTTGCGAAATGCGTGCCTTTAATTCCGCTAAATTTGCAATTGGAGCATGGAACACAACATCCTTCAGATATCCCCACAACCAGAAATCACACGGAGTAAGATCAGGCGATCGGGACGGCCAGGCTGTAGGGAAATGACGGCTGATAATTCGAGCATTTCTGAAATGGCGCCTCAGCAGCTGCTTCATGGGATATGCAATGTGCGGAGGAGCGCCATCTTGCATAAAAATGATTTCATTCACACATCCACGCTGTTGCAGAGCTGGAATCACGTGGTTGCGCAAAAGAGACGCATACCTCTGACCAGTGACGATTGTTGCGGTAACAGGACCGGAAGCACCCGTCTGCTCGAAAAAATATGGTTGTAGGACGAATGACTAATGCCGTAAAGCCACACCATACCGTGACCTTTTCAGGATGAAGTGGTACGGGGTGCGTTGCCAGTGGATTTTCTATTGCCCATATTCGACAATTCTGGGTATTGACGTATCCCTGTCATATGGAAATGGGCTTTATGGTCCATAAAATGGTTCCACGGCCATTCATGGATCCACTTCTGGAATTCTAATGAATGTCTCCCTTACTGCCAGGTCAGACGGAAGCAATTCCTCACATGGCAAATTTTGTCGGATCCCATTGCAGCTGTCAGGACAATTTGCAGCACCACGCTCGTAGGCCTGTCCAATGTTCGGGCAACTCCTGCGTGCACTGCACGCTTGCACATTTTGGCCGACGCCCTCCTGTAATGCTCTGGCTACTTGCTTCAACTACCGTTGAATGCACTCATTTTCGTCCCTCTACCAGATTGCACATCAAACAAACCTGTCATTTCGAAATTTTTGCATCATTTTCTTTAGACCTTCACGACACTCATTGGACCAACACGCCTTCTTTTATACCCTTCAGTGTCCTGAATTTTTGCAGAGCTACTCTTGCACAATCATCATTCTTGTAATACAGCTTTACCAGCAGAGCGCGGTCCTACAGTGAAACACCCATGGCGAATGCCTGAGTCGCGAAATGAGGAACAGCCTGGTACCTGGCGGCTTTATAACACTGAAATTTAACTAACATTTTAATTTACGTCTTCTTCCGCTTGCAGCGCCATCTGTTGGTAACTTTTGAAACTAAATTTTTTCTTCTGCCATACGCTTTCCGCCTTCTTCAATAACATTCCTTTCAAATTTGACGTCATTTTCATGAATGGTTCTTTTTTTATAGCGTTTTGAAACTTAAACTTTAATTATAATCACCCTGTATTTGGCAGCAACAATCTGAAAAGTGATACTGCCGTTTATAGTGATTCTACGCAAAATGCTGTTTCGAGACTAATAGCCCTTTTGGGTTGATGATAAATCAACATTTAGGTCTTAGAAAAGCATAACGTTCACATGGGCATAGACAGCTCAAAATAAGGGGGAGGGGAATGCCCGTCACGACTCCTTCAAGTATGCAGGTAATTATTACGTGGCGAATATATTATGTTAACCCTTTGTTGCATCATGTCCACTCTAGTAGACAAAAAGTTTTAAATTTGTTTATTTTTCTGTAAATGCCTTAACAGATTCCATTCCTGTGTTTATTCATTCTATATTATTAGAACTTTCAACTGTCGATCCTAGATGGCTGTATAGCATCACTAAGTAAAGCATTGCTATTTGGAAAATGACTGCTACTTTTGTTTCCAAGTTAGTACAATTTCTCATAGTAAACATTATATAATATTGCTGACATTTTCTTATACTGCCATTTTTTTATTCATAATTAGTAATTTTAGACCTTTTATTTTTAAATGTCAGTTTGAGAAAATTGTGGAGTGGGTAGATAAAGATGTTCCGAAAAAGAGTGAATTGAAACCCAAATGGACTGCTTATCAAGCCAAAACACCACTGGACATGTTTATGTTTGGCAAGGAATTTCTAGAACATTTGGCATTTGAATCTAATAGGTACCGGTTACAAAATCGTAGCAAAATGAATTCAATCTAAAATCGACGAAATGCAGGTATTTTGGGGGATCTGTATGTACATGTCAGTTGTAGATTTACCATTTAGAAGAGAGTAATGATCACTGCCAAACAAGGCAGGAAATGATTTCAAATACAATGACCGTAAACCGTTCGGAAGAGAATTTGTATGCATGTACGTATATGCAAGCCGTTCACTGTAGTGAACAAACTGTTGCAATTATTTAAAACGAAATTTGAATAAAATAAATTTTTTTTTATTACTAAGGTTATTTTCAGTAGAAAAATACAAACATTTTCGTTTAACTTATCTAGATTATTTGTATGCAACAAAGGATTAATCTTAATATAAGTAATAATTATATTATAAATTTTATTAATAATAAAATTATGTACATAATTAAGGATATATTGCATTTAATTATCGTATTTATAATTATTACCTTACAAATATATTAAATCTGATTGGAATATCTACTAAATTCGATGCAACTCAACACTTTTAATTACTTAATGGATAAAAACTGATTCGAATATCTACTGAATTCGATGCAACTCAACACTTTGAATCTATTAACGGTAAACTAAACGACGTTACACGACAGATAGCGTCCCAAAAAATATAAATAGACGAATCGAGCAACAGCATCTCCATACGAAGAAAGAAGCTTAGCGAAGCGATTTGACTTTCCTACGCAGTCAATTCTGCGGGTTAACTGACGAAAATATGATGCGTGTTAACTGCAGTGGTATTTATAAGCTTGGAAAGCCTTTGTTTTAATCCTGAGCAGATGTTGAGCAAAAAATTTCGCAGTGCAGAGAAATCGCAAGTGAGTAAGAGTGACGTAACATGCTGAAGAGTGACGCAAAAGAGTGCGGGTTGTATTTAATTAAAAGATTATGAATTTAAAGATCTGTTGGCAATTGGTTGAAATTAAGTTTAATAATTTTGGTTCGTGTTTTATGTTTTACATATATATATATTGTTGCGTTTTTGTACGGGGTTCGTGAATTTGGAGTGATTGACGACGACACTTGATGAAGTATCAAAACACAATTTATTAGTCAGTTTTACTCAGGGCAGCTCCAAAACACATTACAGTCGTCGAAAAATCACGATAAACACGCGGAAACATTCAGCGCACAGCTTTCAGGCTCTCAGGCTATAACGGTGAAGACAGCTTCACGGCAAAGCACCAGATTACAGCTCCTGACTCTGTTCGGTCCGAATACGCTCGAAAACTCTCCACGCTACAACTCGCGGTACACTCGACGATAGTCTCAACGATGCAGTAACTCGACAGTAGACTAACGATAAAACTCGATAGACTATGGGACACTTGGTAGACTCGCGACTCTCTCGATGACCAACTCGACATTAGACTGACGATCAGCTCGCTAGACGAGGCACTGACTGATTGACTACTACTACGCGTACAAGCAGATTTTATATAACTTTAGGGTTGCGTTCGGGAACGTTCTGGTCCAAACCGGTAAGAATTCGTTCTAGAAGGTTCTCCATCCGTTCTATGGCATATCGCCAATTTTGTCGCCAAATATGGCAACCCTGCCTTCCCTCTACATTCTCTGGAAACCCTAAAGCCGCTTTGCCCAGGAAGCTATCTTACCACAGCTGGACATTTCGTAACAATATATATATATATATATATATATATACAGAGGGAGAGAATAATTTAAAAACACCTGAAAAAATATAAGTGCAGGTAGAAGGACCGAAGTAAGCAGATTTTATATAGAAATGTGAGTGTAAATATGGCTAGTTGAAATGATGCAACGTGGTGTTGAGCAATAGGTAAAAGTTTTCCGCTCGCGTAAATTCTCACTTCTCGTATGAATTTTGAAAGGCACCCATTAGACAAATGCGACGCTCCCCGACTTGTATTTTATCTATGAATCTGCGAGAGGAAACTGAGCGTCTACTCAAAGGAGGTACCTGGTATGTATTGTACTTCACCGGGGTTGACTCAGTGAAACCTCCTGTGAAACCACTGGCTAGGATCTGTACTTAGGCAGTCTCAACTACAGAGGTATATTATCAGTCTTTACAGGACTAGAACTCCCTTCATTTGGCGGATGATTCAGGCTCGGCAGGGACCGTACTGGTACTCTCTTGGCTGTGGGATCGCTACATTGTTATATATTGTGGCTATCATTGGGGGTTTGGTTCCATTCGGTTTTCTCGAGGGAAAACTGACAGAGTGCGGAACACCTCCCTGAATATATCGATGCAACCGGCGTTGTTCCTGGGGACAAAGATGTCATCGTATTTTATCCATGGACCTTATAAGGTCCATGATCTTATCTCGTCATAGTGTTCTTAACCGTTCTCGTGCTTTGCCCCAGGGGGGGGACGGCGGGGGCTGCGCTCGCTTGGAATGTCTCCGGAGTCTTAAGAAACATCCTGAAATCTTTTATAGCCAGGAGAGGTGTTTGTCTGTTGGCGTTCTGTATCTACTGTAAGTAGCGGCTCCGTCTTATCTGCAGGCGCCAGAAACACGCACCTTTCTTGTTGTATTTTCTCATATGCAAGGAAAAAATTCATTCGGTGATAAATGGAATTTTGTCGGATGTATCTCTAATTCTTTTTACTTTTGTTTTTTAGGACAGTACTATGCGTTTAATCTACGCCTATTCGGACAAAGATCCAACGTCCGAGGACGACCTGGAGTACCATTTCCAGAAAAGAGGATCGAAGAGTGTCCTGTTACTGCAACAAAACAATCGTCACCTGGTGGATAAGTCATCTCTGCTGTATTGGGATGTTCTTTCTCCGAATGTGAGATAATAACATTTACGTAATATTTCAACCGATGTTTAATTTATTGTAAAATAGTATTTTTCTCTCGGAGTTAATTTGAACTCTAGCATACCATGAGCAATTGCTGAGAGTTCCTCAAGAATTACTTTTGGAATTGCTTTTTGAATTATTGTGTAGTCATTCTCGAGATTATGAATACTATTGAAGACTTCGCAAATTTAAGAAACAGTACTATAGAGGCTGAACCATCGATTAACCAAAATTGTTAGACTAAAAATTCCGGAAAAGTATGAAAATAAGACAGGCATAATGAGCGAAGTTCATGCAAATCTGCGGATCGTTGTTCAACAAATATAAAATGATTTCCTTTTTGGCCTTTTATTGTTCTGCTAAGCACCGTTCATGGTCTCGCCTATCTTTATACAGTGTTTCAAGAAATCTCATTCCAGAATTATTTCTTTTGTTCTTTCTATTTCAATTTTTGGACGAAGAATTCGGATCTCGGGAGTTTATCATCGCTAATTAAGGTTTCTAAATGTGAAAAAGGTTTAATATTATTTAAGGCAATTTAAATGTTATCTGGTGTTTAAAAAATTGAAAACATAATGTTTAAAGTTTGAAGGAAATATAACTACTTAAGTGTATTAAACGCAGTGAATGGTCAACGGTGAACCATTGACTTGATCTGGTTTGTTTAATTACGGCAAAGCTTCGAGGGCTATCTGCCTAGGTGGAAGGCTAGTACTTTTATGAAAGCAGATAGTCCTTTTATGAAAAAATAAAAATAGTACAAGAATTTTGACTCCCGTACCACAAAAAAATTGAACTGGGATATTTAATTACAAAATTTGCAAGTTTTGATCTTATTTTCAACTTGCTTTATGGTGTCGGTTAAGTTAGAATAATTCGAGGAAATAAGTTTAAAAGATGTGCAGCAAGAAGTGTGTGTAATTTAATAGGCCGTAGAAGGAAGTCATGTGGTGTCCAGTAAAGTAACAGTAAAGACTCTGTTTTAACATTTGGCTATGATATAGATTAGTTTTTTTTATTTAATGCTAAAATAGACTAATATAAAGTTTTCAGAATGCAATTCGTTTTTATTTTATTTAAATTAGACTTGTTATTTTATTTTTATTTATTTTGTCTTATAATTTTCTTTTCAATCTTATAGAATTTTTTTTTTTAATTTGTTGATCGCTCAATTTTAAATCAATGACATTATTTTCTCATTACAGTTCAAAGTCCCATCTGAGTATTCTACCATGTACTGGTGCAAAATCTACAAAAGTCCACAGCTTTCAGAGAAGCATCACATTATTCTGGTATGTTAATGTATATATGCTATCTAGGCATTTATTTTTGATAAAAATAACATGCTTACTAATTGAAAATGTTGAAGAATTCGTATTTGTAGATTCCATTACTGTATGTGAAAGAATTAAAATTATAGCATAACAACAATCTCTTTGCTTGAGTAATACAGAAGTTTTTGCTTCCTTGTACGAAGTAAAGGAAGTATTGTAATCGCGAAAAATTTCGGTTATCATATTCCAACGAAAATATCCATATTGATTGTTCTCGAATCCAATTTAGCGATGTTTTTTTTGCATGGTATATGTACGTGCGGATATAATAAAGGACTCTCTCCCCCAAAACGGATTATAAAATGGATTCAGAAGAGAATTTTTTTCGTGACGTCAGTACGTGCGTACGTACGTATCTCGCATAACTCAAAAACGAGTAATCTCAGGACGTTAAAATTTTATATATGGGACTGCTATAACATGTAGTTATGCACCTCCCTTTTTGGTTGCAATTGGTCGCGCATTGGTGAGCTCAGTTTTTTTATTGGTAAATTGTGCATTTTTTGCTTTAAAAATATTGAATTATGCTGTTCTTATGTTCCAGTTAAGGTTTTCATGCCTTTAGTTAATTTGCAGGCAGTAATTATAGAATCATTAACAATTTAACGAAGCCGCCATTTGTTTACATTTGAAAAGTCTTAGTAGAACAGTGAATTACGTCAGTCTGTGCACCAACTTCTTTGTCTTTTCGCCGAGTGGGACCAAAAGTAAACTTCTATTTTGTGAACTGAAAAAAATCTATCTTCCTGCCCGAAAAAGAAGCCGGAAAATCGAAAACCCGAAAAAGAAGCCGAGTCCAATAAACAAGCCTGGCCGAAAAACAAGCCGAGTTGCTTGTTTTTGCATAGAAACTCTAATTTTAATTGAAAAAAAAATTGTTTTTAACTCTATTTGGTGTTTTTTTTTTTCCTGTATTTTTCAATTTTTAACGAAGATTTTTTGAGTTTTTACGCATTTTTCCCTTGCCGGGAGGTCAGAACTAAATTGATTGAATGAGAAATATACCTTTAATGAAATTTGAGGAAATAAATTGAAATGAAATACAGCAAAAAGTGTGTGTAATTTAACAGGCCGTACAGAAAAGTCATGTGGCGTCCACGTCAGAGTAATAGTTAACTATGTAAAACATGTTGGAGAATAGGTTTTTATGTAGAAAATTTTGTTAGCTTTTGACCTCTTCTAATGACTGAAATTATTTAAACAGAGTAAGTGACACATTTTGATGTGCTTTGACAGTGATGAACATTTTCATGAGCGAGATACAAATTTACCAAGAGGTAACTCGCCGAAATATTCTACATTGTGTTTCCTAGCTCACTAAATTTTGCCAAAAAGTTTGAATTTTTAGCATAGAAGAAAATCAGTTGTTGTAGTTTGATAAAAGGAAATTTCTAATAAGTCTAAATGTAGAATTCGAAATAAAATTTTAATCGTAAAGTTGAATTTTCAGTTAAGCATTTACTATCGAAATTAATAATAGCTCAAAAAGGTGCTATAATTTTCATTTTTGATAAAATTGCCTCCGATTTAAACCGACATTATTGCTAATATACGCTTAATAAGATCTTAAGTTTATTATTGGTGTCATAAAGCGAATTCTGAATACAATACACATCAATAATTTAAAAGCATTTTATCCGGACTTCAAAATAATGCGTGATATTTTATTCCGTGGAAATCAAAAATTAAATAAAGTCCTGATAACCTTAAAGAGGTAAACTCGAAATTTTCATCCGTATTAAAAGTAAATTATAATGATTATGATGAAACTCTTTTTGCCGCCCAACCTGTATAGTGGTTAGTGTCGCTGACTTCCCGGTGGGAAGCTCCCGAGCGACGAAGGGCTCGGGCTCAAATTCCGGAGAAGACATGCATGTTTGCAAATGTGCAGTGTCCGTGTAGCATGGGGGCACTCTAAATATGCGGCGAGCCAGAAGTCCTCTCGAGAGGTTGGTGGTAGGGGAAGAGGAGCGGGAGACACTTATATCCATTCCCCCCCGGGGTGCTCTCTATCAAAATTGGGGGAGGAACTTAGCTAAATCGCAGTGTCCCCTGTTAGCTGCTCTGAGCTGTTGCCAACGACAGGCATAAAAGTTCGCTCCTTAGCACGAGGAATTTCGTGGGCTTGGACTGACTAGTGGTCAGACAAGTGAGCATTAACAACAGCAAATTCTTTTTATTAACATTTAGATTGGAAAATCCATTTTATTTTAATTTTTTCTTATTTGTCTGATGATTTTTGATAATTTTATAAATTGTAGAGACATTAGGTATTTTTTGGAAGCAGGCAAGATGAAAAATGAGCAGTCGTCTTCGCCGGGAATCGAACCACGGATCTATGAAATACCGGCCCAGCGTGCAGAACTACTACACCACGAAGGCACGCTAGGAAGGCGGGAGAAATACCTTATATACTCCTCCTGTTAAAGGTGAGGAGAATCATCTTCCAACACCCTTTTTAGTTCGGGCATCACTGTAGAGACATTAGGTATTTTTTGAAAGCAGGCAAGATGAAGAATGTGCAATCGTCTTCGCCGGGAATTGAACCACGGACCTCTGGAATACCGGCCCAGCGTGCAGAACCACTACACCACGAAGGCATGCTAGGAAGGCGGCAGAAATACCTTATAAAATATAAAGGATGGTCTAAAATTATTGAACGCGTTTCATGTTTGAAAAAAGAAAAGAACAAAAGGAGGTGCATACATGTTGTTTTCTTGGGAAGACAATTTAAAACAGTTTTACACAACAAAATTTAAAACGTTAAAATAACTTTCACATGTGGTCTATTTGTGGCACCTAATTCAAGTGTGAAAATGCGCTCAATAATTTTGGATCACCCTGTATTTCCTTTTATATCAGTTCTCCCCTCCCCCGAAAAAAGTCGTCGGCGCTTTTAAAATTGAAATATCTTTTGATTCAAACGTAATGCTAGTGAGCAGTCAAGATTTAATTTTAAGAATTTACTACAATCACTCTTACTTTTATTTAAGATGAAAAGCGTTTCTTTTTACTTTAAATCCTAGTCAGATTGTTAAACTGTAATTCTGAGTTTTCATATTATAACTGAACATTCCCTAGTCCCTTGGATTTTAATTTACGGACAGTATACATCAAACGACTGCAGTATTGACATAACAAGATATAGTATTTAAATCCACGGAATGGCAAAATAATTTGAAACTCAGTTGAAACTAAACTAAAAGTTTTTTTTTTTTTTTCATCTCAAAAGCCCCACCTACGCTCGTGATTACAGAAAAGATTCCTTCCCTAATGAATAGAACTTGGGCTCGAATTAAGGGAAAAACTCATTATTTTCAGCTTATCGAAAATCTCGCAAACTGGCATCACAGTACCGGTTTTATTTGTAACCTCGGGGTAATGGCGTTACAGTTTTTAAAGATGCATTAGTTTTGTTCTGTCCTCAAAAGCATTCTCACATGAAACGAGTATTTAGAGTTAAAAATGACATAGCTGGATATGAAATATTATTTTGTAATACTTTATAAGCTATTTTCTCCCTCCTACCATGCCTTCGTGGTGTAATTGGAAGCACACGGGAAGCGTATTTGAGAAGTACAGGGTACGAGTTTTAGCGAGTACAAAAGAGCATATCTTTAGAACTTCCGATACACAGTCTCGCGCGCTGGAGATAATTTTTTTTCCCCAATACAGTGTTGCTATGGCTCGCTTTCAAATCGTTGAGTTTGTTAATCAAAAATTCGCTAAAGTTTTAGAAAATAGGAAACAAATAATAAAAGGAACTCGAAATTCCAAAATTGGGTTTCCAGATGCCCATATTCGGGTGGACGACTAATTTCAAAATTTTGGGTCTCTAGGTACCGTTATTTTTTCACAGTGCGAGAAACATAATTGCATTCATGGAGATTCTTCATTACTTAATTTTGTTTTTTAAATATAATGCAGAGCTCTAATAATGGGTGGCAGCAATTTGAAAAGTGAAATGACGTTTAATAGTGGACGACGCAAAATGCCAAAACGAAATTAAAAGCCTTTCTGAACAAATTGCCGCTATGGGGGAAAAAACGTCTAGGGATTCTACAAGTGATGCCCGAACTAAAAGCTGGTGAAGGATAATTCGTCACCACCAGGATTTGGCTATTTAGTCCTCTAATCCCGAACTGCCATTTAAAAGGGGGGGGGCGTATATAAGGCATTCTCTCCCTCCTTTCCGCATGCCTTCGTGGTGTAACTGGAAGCATACTCCGAAGTTGTGGTCTCTCACAAACTGCGGTCTGATTAAATTATGTTCTGGAAAGATTTAGTAACTAAGAACTGAAAACTTTGTAGCATCCCATCTATTTTTCAAGAAAACCTTATAAAATTTGTAGAGACGTTAGGATTTTTTTGGAAGCAGAAGACATGAAAAATGAGCAATGCCCTCACCGGGACTCGAACCACGGACCTCTCGAATACGTGCCGAGCGTGCTGTCCACTACACCACGAAGACATACTAAGAAGTCGGAAGAAATACCTTCTAAACTTAGTAATGTTTTTCACTGTAGGATCAATTTTCAACACATCCTGGATCAGTTCCTTTCTAATCAGGTAATGAACATTCAAGTTCTTCCCAAAGTTCTATTCTGCACTACCTGAAGTTTTTGGAAGTCTGCCTTTGAAGCTAATGCCTAGGCAGGAGATTTGGCGTTAAAATGCATCTGTATATCCTTCTCTTTTTGTAGAAAGACAGTCCAAAATAATTTCCTAGGAGTACCACCCATTTCTTGGCTTCTAGCATAGGATTATATACTTTATTCTCTTCAGCACTGCGCAGACGCAAGGGAGAATGCCAATGTACTAAATATTTATTATTATTTTGTGCTTGTATCTTTGTTGAAATAAAATGCAATTTCTCATTTAGCCGCCAGAAAAGATATCCAAATTTAAGTATGGAAAATTTTCGAGTATCGGGACAGACTCGTTTTAGTCAACTCAGACAGATGGAACTTTAATGCTGTGGTGTAAAATTAAACCATTAATGTGAATATCAAGGTTGGGATATCAATCAATGCAAATTTTGTTTATTCAGTCGGGAATAGTTAAAATTCATATTGTAAATAACTAAAGACATTTCTCCCATCTGTTAATGTAAAATAATGATCAATGCAGTAATTGGATGACTTAAAGTTCTTCCTGCGTAAAGAACAAAATGGCTGGCGCAAGATTTCCTGCTCTAGATATCTCTAATGTCTTTACAATCTTATTATCTAAGGACTTTATTTTATTCTAACCAACTATTTTTAGTTTTGCTTTCCTTTCTGTCCTGATTTCCGTTTCCTGCCGGGAATGTAAATTTTAAATGACGTAGTATGCTAATCTAAGCGTGTTTCAGAAGCAATATTTAAGCTGCCCTTCAAAAGTTCGAGAAGAATAGTAGCGGAGTTATTTCGAATTGAGGCTGCGTGTTTGAATTCAGCTCTCTAGTCAGTGTTCGACACCTTTCAGTTGATATACCATATTTCTAGGCTCGCCTTTGCTGCGTGCAGCCGATTTAGCGTTAGTTAAGCTTAGGAGTCAGTCGTTAGTCATCTTAATTTAATGCGCATTTACATCTTTATTTTCTGCTAATTTATTTAGCTACGAGTGGTGCGAATATTGAGCGCCGAGTGCTTGCATCTGTTTAATTTTAGTTTTAAATAAAAAGGTTATTTAAAACCTTCTTCTGCAGTATTTATTCTTCCAAGACATAGAGAGTATTCGCTACTTCGTCTTCTAGGTAGAGTCTACATCTTATGCTACTAAAATGAACACACAATTACATCTTGATATACTGTCTTTACAATCTTCATTTTTCCATATATATTGCAAAACGAAACTTTCTCGATAATGTCAATCTTTTAAGCGGTGCGATTCGCAGTGATAAAACTTGTATAAATACAATCATCACTTGACACGTAACGGAAGTACGCAACTGCTCCGAAAGCTTTAGGAGTAGCGTTAGGAGGAAATATATGTAGTTCTAATTCTTTCACCAACTTCAAATATTTCAACAGATTAATCTGAGAGCATCAATTATTCAATTTTTCTTCAAGGCAGTTCATCATGCCATCCTAAACCAAGTTCCCATATTTCTTGCATTAATAATTTTATGAGAACAATAAAAGGTGATGCAATTCCCATAGGATCCGATAACTTCGAAGCTATCTGAAGTACATTACGTTTTGAATTCCTCCTATCATAGATCATGTCCAGTAGAGGTTTTACATCTAACTTAAAAGCATCTTCTTCGGTATTCCTTATTATGCCTAAAACCTTCAAAGGACGTTCTTTAGTTTCTGTCACATCAGACAAACCTCGTTCACTCCATAAATTTCTCAACTCATCCGAAATACTATTAATTTTTTTTTACATCTAACTTAATGTCTTTACAATCTAGGTAACTTATGCAATTTTGTGCTGGCTGGCTTACGTCAATGCGTCACTCTTTCGACATTTGCTTCATATTAAAAGTAACAATCTGTTCTGGAAATCAAGCATATAATGATGTCGAAATAATTGCAAATTGTCAGTACACTGTATCATTTCCGAGTAGTGCTAAGGTATTTCTATTGCGAAGGTACTGATAAAGTAATTCTCCCGCCTTCTTAGCGTGTCTTCGTGGTATTGTGGTCTGCATACTGAACGCGTATTTAAGAGGTCCGTGGTTCGATTCCTGGCGAGGGCATTCTTAATTTTTCAAGTCTCCTGCTTCCAATTAACCTAATGTCGCTACAGGTTTATATTCCAAACTGAAAAAATGATCGATTCTTTCATTCAGGTGGAGCCTCTGATTCAAAAAGGACATGAGAATATCGTGCATCATCTCCTAATGTACGAGTGCGTAGGAGCCGCTCCTGATGAGTATAATCCACATGTGGATGCCTATGGTCATCAGTGTCATAGGCCGAACATGCCCGACGCGATGAAGAAATGCGAAGGTGTCTTCCTCGCCTGGGCTGTTGGAGGAGAAGTAAGTACTTTATTACGTGATTCGAGTAATAAAGATTTGCTTTTTAATTTAACGTGTTTCGTAAAGGATGAAGATGTTCTTATTCTCTGTGCATGTTAATATATGTTAAGGCTCGACTGCATATCCCATGTATACCTATGCTGGGCGCGTATTCCTTCCCCATTATAGAATTTTTCAAACACTAGAGCTGATGTAATCTTGATATCCCTATGGACAGGGAAAACTTACTTTTTTTTTTTTTTCAAAAACTGGCTTTTAAAAAGAATTCTTAAAGCATCCTGTTCCTCAAACTATCTTTTTACCTTGAATATTCTAGCTTTGTTCATTAATCTGTAGCATATACTATCTATTCACTTCGAAAATCACAAAATATAACTAAATATAAATAAATCAAATTGCTTGACATAGCAGTCCAGTAGCTCATTGTGGTAGTAACTATCACGACTGGCAGTGAACGTTTGATAACCCTTCTGTTGTTGATCTTAGTGTTAACCCCGGTAGATAACAATAGATGATCCTAGCGCGCCGGTGGCTGATTTTAGTAGTATTTCTTATTATATCGGGTGGTTCGGAAAGTAATTTCGTTTTTATCCCAACAGAGGCCCTTTATCAGCAGGATAACGCTCGACGCTGCTCGCATCAGCAAACGTGCTCTGCAAGGTGTACTGACGCTTTTCTGGCCACCATTCTGTCCTGATCTCTCACCAATCGAACACATTTGGGATGTGATTGGACACCATTTGAAGATCCTGGCATTGCCGCGTTCAGAAAACAAACTGTGCCAAATGTTTGACAGAGAATGGAGACCCATTCTTCAAGACGTCTGTAGTCTCATTGACTCTGTACCTAAACGTATTGCTTCATGTTTCGCCGTCCAAGCTGGTCCTACAACCTACTGAGCGGACGCTGTTATCGCTTTTTATATTATGCATATCATTTCGAAATAAAGATCACTTATTGTTCGTTGCTGTCTCTCTCTGCTTGCCGAGTTTCATCACTTTTGGGCCACTCCTTGGTGTTGCATTTTGAATATCGGGTAGTATGCGTACATATAGATTTTTATTTATTTTAAAAAAGGGACTGCTACAAATATTCAGCATAAACTGATTAAATTACCGTGAAATACACTTCATAGTAACATGCCTAAAGATATTTAACGTTATCTATTTAGACAATATTATTATGACAATATTGTTTTTTATTATTCTAGGATTTGGTGTTACCTGAACACGTGGGTTTGCCTCTAGATCCAAGTCCCTCTAAGTATTATATGTTGGAAATACATTATGATAATCCTTTCCACAAAAAAGGTAAGTATTGCATTACTCTAGTAACTGCAATAGAAGTCCAAGTAAACTCCTAAATAGATAGAATACCGACATCCGAATATTCAGTTAGCTGGATCCCTTAATTAGTTTTTTAGTTAGAGTAAAATTGAGCTTGTTATTTATTTATAATCCATTTTGATCTTTGTATATATAGGGTTTGTCCGGAAAGTAGTGGGACTGAATAAAAAAAAATATTCACAATTTTGACGCATCGCCTTAATAGTTTTTAAGATATGCCCATTCTGCATCAACACAGCGTTTTCAGCGACTCAGCCGATCACTGAAGGCTCCCTGGAACGCAGAAACTGGCATGCTCTTCAGCTCCCTCGTTACGGCCTCTTGAATGGCCTGGGCCGAGCCGTGGTGCCGTCCTTTCATGATCCTTTTCAGTCGGGGGAACAGCAAGACGTCTGAAGGAGAGACATACACCCCAGTTGGAGATTCAAAAAAACGAGTCGCCCGCGTCCGTCCAATCATCGCTGGATCATGGAGTCTCCATCACGACAGTGCGCCGACCCACACTGCCTTTACTGTCATGGACTTCTTGACCAAACATAGCAGCACACAGTTTCCGCAGCCACCCTGCAGCCCAGATGTCGCTCCTTTTAGACTTCTTGCTTTTCTCCCAACTGAAACGTGGTGAAGTCATGAAATCGAGCCGTGGTGAAGGAAATCGAGCTTAAATGCTTGAAAATACTTGAAAAGTGGCGAAGCCATGAGACCGAGCCTGGACTGCGACGTGGAAGTCATGAAAGGACTTCGCCATAGCTCGGTCCAGGCTATTCAAGAGACCGTAACGAGGGGGCTGAAGAACATTCCAGTTTCTGCGTTCTAGGAAGCCTTCAGTGATTGGCAGAGTCGCTAGAAACGCTGTGTTGATGCAGAAGGAGCATATTTTGAAAACGATGTGAACAAATTTGTGAATAATTTAAAAAAAAAAATTAAGTCCTACTCCTTTTCGTACAAATCCTGTAAGTATTCACTACGCCATTTCTTCCAAAAGCATTGTTTTATATATATTGGGGAAGATTCCAGATGCAAAGAATGTTTGAGGGATGGTACAGTTATATTCAGGAATTCCTGTAATAGTTTTTCCTACACGGAAATGAGAAGGAGTTAGTACATCTAAACTTACACTTAGCCCACCAGCGGCCGAGCGGTAAAGTCGCTGAACACTGGTAGTTCGGTCCGAGGTTCGAATCCAGCGAACGGGCTGGCTGCATGGTCGTTTTCGTGGTTTTTCCCGTGTGTAACGTGTGTACGAGCCAGTTTCCCTTAGAAAGCCCTCCACGAAGGCATCTCTCCGGTTAGGCAGATAGCCCTCGAGGCTTTGCCATAATCACACACACACACTAAACTTACACTTGTGAACAACTCCAATGCGGCACTCCACCATTCTTATTGAATTGCATTACTCCTGTGTAACCCTAATCAAAGTGTTCTACTGCTAGAAAATTATGTTTGCGAAAATAAGTACAGGCTAGAAATTACATTCTTTATTACACTTATTGAGATAGAATGTAACATTATGAGATAGGCACAAATGAAAGATAAAATTTGAGTTTGAGATAAAAGGTATTGAAGAATTCTAAAATTTTATCCCAAAAGGTGAAAGGAGAGACAGTAGACTTAGTTAAATTTCTCAAATTTTTCAAAAATAAAATTGAAAGTTATAATGAAACTGCTTTTAATGTTCTTGTCCATCTTTTAGGCATAGTCGATCAATCTGGATTCAGAATATACTACACTCCTGATCTGAGAGAATACGATGCCGGGTCTCTGATGATCGGCTCCACCATAAGTGCTCGAATGCTGATCCCTCCAGGACGATCGCAGTTCGTCGTAGCGGGTCATGGCAATCCAAATTGCCTAGAATCGGTACAAAATATCAAATCATTATTACAAGAATCAAAGAAAATAAATAATATAATAGCCTTTCCCCCGCTATTCAAAAAAGAGGGAGGTCTGAAATCAGGAACGCCATTCGTTTAGATGATATGTCCAAATCTTATCTCATTAAGAGTCTTAGTAATGTACTATTCTAAAGTTCAGATAACTATTGACAATCTGATGGAGAATTTCAGTAACATGATCTGCCAATTGCCAATTTAATTAAGTATTACCAACATGCAGAGATATTAGGTATTTTTTGGAAGCAGAAGAGATGAAAAATTAGCAACGCCTTCGCCGGGAATCGAACCGCGGACCTCTCAATTACGCGCTGAGCGTGCAGACAACTACACCACGAAGGCTCGCTAAGAAAGCGGGAAAAATACTTTATAAACCTTGCAGAAGAATGCTTTAATTTATCTTGGAAATTATTAATTATTAAAACGCACACTATTTGAATAAAACAAACTAAGAGATTTAAAAACAGTACGCATATTTTAAAATTATTTTTATCTTCGTTTTGCCTTTTAATGATATATTTAGAGAGCGATTTATAGTATCTTTAAATGAATGAAAAATTTTTTATAGTAATTTATACCACTTAGGTAAACAAGATGTATTAGACGCCATATATTGCATACTTGGGTTATAGAATAAACGTTTTCTCATTGTCTATTTGCCCACTGCAGTGAGTTAACCATGGTAGCTATATTGAGGTTAAAAGCGTCTGTTAGCTAATCTTTCCAGTTCTTTTCTTTGTATTAGATGTTGTGTATTTGAGATAACTGTATTAGATAATGAATGATAAGTTCTCTTGAAATGAGTTTAAAAATAAATTATTTTTCGGTAATGATATATACTCGATTTTCTAGATTCAGTCTTGTCTGAGATTAAGGAAGTATTATCACTTTACGGAAATATTAGACAACCATATTCTTCACTACATAGGAAATATAGAGCAAATAATGGCGATCTGCTAAATAATGCTAAGTCATCTATGACAGGGGTATCAAGCTCAGTTTGCATCTGTGCAGGATCTAAAAACAGTTTGGCGGGCCATATTTTTTTCGCCCAACAAAATAAAATTTTTTATTAGCAACATACACGGCAACAATAATGATATTTGCAAAGAGAAAACACTTAAATTTATGTTTATTTTCTATCTGAAATCCAGAGTTTTGTACATGCAACACATTTTTTATTACATTTTGCAATATGTATATATATATATATAGGGATTTTTGAAATTTACTGGTTTTGAATTTCACTTCTTTTGGGCCTTTGCAGAATTGGTTCTAAATTTTTTACTTTTGTTTATGTATATATATGTAGCTAAATATTAATTTTCTGGCTGTTTACTTCAAATATATTCTAACACGTTTAATTCATCGTTTAATAACTTACTTTAGCTTAAACTAAAAAAATATATTATGAAAACTTTCTAAATCAAAGTTTTCAGAGAAAATTTACCAAGAAGACCAAAACTCAAAAATAAATAATGAGATAATCTAGTCTATTTTTGTTATTGATTAAACGTTTCTTCGACGCATGAATAAAAATACATACTATTACGAATTTTTTACATAGGTAGATGATTTTAGTGCAGTTATATGTGAAACAGTTTTGTATTTTCCTGTGTAATGTAGCATGAAATATTTAGAGAGACAAGCTATGCCGGAAAAGTAAGAATACAGGGGAAAGTCTAATTTAACATTGAGTAAATGGGTATCTCGGTAATTTGGCGAGATATCGCCAAGCTGGCAACGGTTTTGACGTCTCATTCCTGTCTCCAAATTTGGCGACAAATCGTCAAACTTGTCGAAACGTTCGCCAAACTTGGCGACATTTTGGTCCGGTCCCTGTATTACCGTAATAGGTATTGTAATTGAATAAACATAATCAATCATTATATTAGCTGTAACCGTAATTCGACTCTCTTATTGTCTTCCAGTAATTTCGAGAAGCAGAAAGTACTAGAAATTTCTCGGCGGCCGGGTGAAAACTATATAAGGCAGGAGCTCAGTTGATATTGTTAGCTGCTATCTCAACGTGAGTTCCAATTACTATCTCAACGTAAGTTCCAATTACTATCTCAACGTGAGTTCCAATTACTATCTCAACGTGAGTTCCAATTACTATCTCCGATTTAGCTTCGCTCTTTAGCTGCGATTTGCATTGCTTTGTGTTTACCTTTCTTAGTAATTTTAAGTGTCATTACTGATTGTACTAAATGATATTGTGAAGATTTATAGAGGTATTTTTGTGGAAAGTTCCAGAACTCTGCAGTGTTTCTTTTGATAAAATAAATTTTATCAAACTCTGATGGAACCTTTGTGCATTCAGTCTATTTCGAGCTCGTACGCACTCAAAAATATATTTGATGTAAATAATTATAAACTTTATGTATTTTGAAAGACAGCTTTACACTTGATGGCATCTCGATTCTGAAAAAGTTTGCAGCCTCGGAAAAAAATTACAGATGCTCATTATCTGTTGAATTCCTTTCTGATTAATTTTCAACTCTGAGAAAAGACTGTTCACATATGAAAATGAATTCCAAAATGAAGCGAATCTGTACTATATTTTCCTATCGATAACTGTTCTTCATAAAAATATTCAGAAATCTCTCGGGAAGTCTCCGACTCAACCTTTTCTTGTTTTTAAATAGATGTTTAGGAAAATGGAGTATCCTATCTATGTGACCTTTTTTCTTTTTTAGGCCATGCCGGAAGAAGGTGTCAAACTGTTTGGAGTCTTCCTACATGCTCATTTACTGGGTAAGAAACAACAAATTAATTATTTCTATATACTTAAAGATTTGGTGTTACTCTTTTAAGTCTTAACTCTTTGATGTGAATATTCTTAAAGTTCCTCTGTAGCATAAAATATCACTTTAATTTTATAGTAGTTAGCTGCAGAAGATGTTTAAAATTATAAAGATACTTTTGGCAACTTATAATTCAATGGAAGTCAGAAGAATTTCTGGTCGCTCAAAAATTTGCAAGTGGTAAATTTAGAATAATCCAAAATTCTTGTCACATTAAAATATTCATTGCGGAGGAGTATAAAGAACTGGAACAGATATTTACACTACTGCTACAATAATTAAAACAGAAATTCTTTAAAATAATGAAAAAAGAAATGTTAAACTTAGCATGTAGAGTCATTAAGTTATTTTAAGCAGAAGAGGTTAAAATGAGCATTGCCCTCGTCGGGGCTCGAACCTGGACCTCTCGAATACTCGCTGAATACACCACGAAGGCATGCAAAGAGGAGGGAGAAACTACCTTATATGCTCCCCTTTTTAAAGGACGACTGGGGATTAATTAGGCGACCCAGTCGCCAAATCCTAGTGGTGAAGAATAATCATCCACCATCTTTTTTGTTCGGGCGCCACTGTAAAATCATTAAGTTATTTTAAGCAGAAGTGAAAACTGAGCAATGTCCTCGCCGGAACTCCTCGAACCTGCACCCTTTGAATACGTGCCGAGTGTGGTACCTTTACACAACGAAGGCATGCAGAAAGGAAGGAGAAATTAACTTACAAGCATTTGCTGTAAAACCTTCTATGGCTGTTAAAACTTATTTGGAGGTGAAAAAAGTTTTATTTCCGTTCAAATTTCACAATGTCGTCTAAATATAGTTTAGGAACAACATGGAGCACCTTCTGGTTTACATAAAGAAACTGTGTGAACAAGGAATTCTGTAAACAAGTTAGATGGCATGGCCACTCATGCTCTCCACGCATTATAATCTTTGATTTTTATTAATTATAATCTTTGAATTTCTTGTTTTCACGTAAATACACTTCAAAGCAATGTGAATGACCTTTTGTTCAGAGTAAAGCTGTAATGGGGGAAGGAATTTCTCGATTCATAGATTTGGGAAAATGCTTTAGTCTCCATGACCACTTGGACCTCAGAAGTAACATTTCTTGATTTCGTATGGTGGAATATAGGCTATGAAAGAAAAGTATAAATATAACAGGCAAAGAATTCGAAATATGAATAATTCAAGAAACTAAAAATTTTTCTCTATTAGCTTTGGTGAGTGCACTGAGACTGACGCTGAATATCGTTTTAAACGTGTTTTGACTAATAAAAGGCTCATTCACTGAAATTTGATAGTCACGCGACCCCCCCCCCCCCCCGAGAAAAAAAGGAATTTACGCTTACTGAAATAATAACTATTAACTTTATTTACTACTGCTTTTATCTTTTCGCAATGAATTTTTTTAGCATCAGAGGTGCTATTAGTCTCTCAAAACTGGTATTTTGTCCATATCGCTTTTGTATTCCAGTTACTTTCAAATTGTTACCACCAGATGTTATCTCGATCTAATGTTAAAAAAAAAAATGAATCTGTATGCATTTACGTATGTATGTACACTACGCAAAAAAAGGAGAGCAGTTCTATATTTCCCGTTCTACCGGGCCGATTGACGAAATTCAACTTACGTTTTTCATGTCTCGGAAGGATATGTATTAGATTTTTATATAGCATTGTTCTAATATAGCTATTTTGACGCAAAATCGGACTTTTTCTGAAATGACATGCCAATTGTTTTTCCATGTTTCGATTCTACGACTCAAATTATGTCGAACTGCCAAGTTTTGTAAAAATCACAAGAGTAGTTTTCAAACAATTAGCTCTCAAAATTTTAGCTCCTCAGTGTTAATCGAATTTGATATAGTATATTTATAAATATTTCTTTTTTTAATAATTAAACTTATTTGATTCTTACTCTCACATTTCAAAATTTAGGTTCATTCCAAATAAAATTCGCCCATTTTTTATGATTTTTTTAAAATTTATATTTTTAAATAATTTTTATAAATTTTTCGGAAAAAAATTTAAAATATAACCTATAAAATTTTTACCTTCATCTTAAAGTAGATGCATTTCTAATCATACCTGCAAAAAATTAAGAGTTTTTTATTCAAAATTTTTTAAGATACGCATTGTCGCGTTTTGAAATTTGGCATATTTGTTATAAGCGGTAACGACGCCAAATGTGGTTTACGCACTTTGTTAAAATTATTTGAAAGCATGGATGGTGAATTTTTCCGCTGTTGTTGAATGAAAAAACGGAAAGAAAGTAGGTTGCTATAAATTAAGAAGTTCGCTAAATGAATTATTCTTTGCGCAAAACGGAAAAAGTGCACCAAGATAAATTTTGAAATTTCTCGGTACGTTTCTCATCAAGTTGCACAAAATTTAATAGCGGGGCATAATTGGAGTCGTAGAATCGAAATGAATCTAATACATAGCCTGAGTCGCACTTTTGACACATTACACACACAAGTTAAATTTCATCAATTGGCCTATTAGAACGCGAGATATAGAACTGTCCCTTTTTTGTGCAAGGTGTACCTATTAGTAATAAATGCAGTTTGTTAGGGGTTCGTTCGATAATAATTATAATGCTGATAAGGATGATGGGTATTCAGACTGACTAAACATTAAAACAATCAACGGTAAAGCGACTGGTTAAACTCAAGATGAAATTTTTACACTTTATCCAAATCCCTAACGATGATACTAAAACTGGTTTCATAGGACCTTGTCGATCGTTAATTTCCATATAGTTGGCTGAGAAGAATGTGGAGCACTATGCTGTTTTCTTCAAACCTTAAATACCTAACTAATAATAACTTAATTATAAAGTTGTGCTAAGAGGTCTACAAGTAGATTGTCTGATTGATAAATTACTGAGAACTGAAAAATTCTTAACTTTAAAGTAAAAAAAAAGTTGCTACAACAGAATCCACCACCTCCAAAACAAACAAACTGCAAATACAGGGTAATCAGCGAATAAGCCCTGATTTCAAAGTTAAATATCTCTAAAACAAAGATCGATAGAATTATGCGGTAAACTGTACGTTTATTAGCAAAACTGTAAAAATGGTGTATTAAAATTTTGAAATCAGGGCTTATTCGCTGATCACCCTGTATCTATCCTAGCAGTAACTGCTATTTGAAAACACCATATTCTAGGTTAACACCTCAATAAAAGATTTAATATATTAAGATATATATATATATATGAGGTAATATTATATTAAGATAATATATTACAGTTTAAAAATAATTAGAAACGCATATAAGATAGAAATCGTTATTATAAAAAAAAGAAAAGAAGAAAATCTTAGTGCGTTTAGTATTTTCAAGTAGCTCAGATGACTAATCGGCAACAAACTAATGACATTTGGAAGATAATTTATTAAAGATCTTAGGCTTTACCGAGAAGCAACACTTCGAGAACCAGCTAAGTGCGAGGGCGCGTGGACGATAAACTAAAAGCCGCCTGCTTCTGGCAATGGTAACGCCTGCTGAATCTACTGCAGGAAAAATATTTCTTCTAAACTGTGTTCGCTCTTCATCCGTCAGTTTTCGAATCCTTAATCATAGCTGTGGACTTTAATTTTGGGAGGTCATGAGTTTACACTTTAACTGGGAAGGAAAAAAAAAAAAAAAAAAAAACTTTGAGGAGCTCAAAAATTTATACGGAGGAACAGTTGCTATTACAATAGCAAAATATACGCGTATAAAAAATGGATGGAATTTTCTGAACATATCGCTAAAATAATTTTTAACTCCAATCAAAGCTGTATTTCAGAGCTAACTGAATTTAAGAGCTCAAAAGTAAACAACCTTCCATTTCGAACTGGGAAATTATTAAATATCGAGACGTATTATTAAATATTCGAAGGAATGAAAATACTCGAATCTTATTTTTCGAAGCTCCATTTGGTGCTAATTCAATCTCACTCTTTCTCTGCTTATGTGATTTCTTTTCTCATTCTAATTCTTTTTTTCTTTGCATAAATTTGTCATTTTTCGTAGGAAGAGGCATCTAAAGATTTAATGGAATTCAAGAACTTTTGACATTTTTTAAACTTAATTTTAAACGTCTACAGTATGCTTTTATTACATTAATACAAATCCAAGTTAGTATTGTCCTAGTAAAATCATTACTTTTAATAAAATAAGAATTTCCTTTGCATAAATGTTTAATATTAATTTAAAGTTTAATAAAGCTTGTATTTTCCGTCAGTATAACGAAATATATTTGTTGAAATCCAGCTTGTTTCTGTATGAAACAAGCTGAAGTATATTTAACTTAAGTTGACTTTCGCTTTCATATTGTTGCGTTCTACGGGTTCGTGGATTTGGAGTGATTGATGACAACACTTGATGAAGAATTAAAACACAATTTATACGCCAATATTACACAGGAGAATTCCAAAGACAGTTTACAGTCGTCGAAAATTTACAACAAACACGCTGAAACAATCAGCAACACAGCCTTCAGGCTACAGCGGTGAAGAGAGCTTCACGGCAAAGCACTAAAGTGAAGCTCCCGACTCGGTTCAGTTGCTCTGAACTAATCGCTTAACTCAAGATACACATCACGGTAAAACTGCTGCTCCGTGTGCAGGCAGGGTATTTATAGCTTTTGAACTGTCTTCGAGAACTTTCTCGGGAAAACCAGTTCGTTCTAGAATGTTCTCGCTCTGTTTATGGCATATCACCAATTTTGTTGCCAAATGGACGATTTCGCACCAAATCTGGCAACCCTGTCTTTCTTTCCCATTTTTCTGGTAACCCTAAGCTCGTTTTACCTGGAAGCTATCTTACCGCAGCTGGCCATTTTGCAACAATATGCATCTGTAGCTGATTTGACTTAAACTGCTAGAGGTTTACACGTCTTTTGCTTCAAAATACATATTTGCTTACAGATCAAGTGTAATGCAACCTAGATTTTGGAAGCAGGCTATGATAAGTGTAGGTTCAGATAATCGTCAGGTAACTGATTTACGTTAAAATATTATTTCAACACATTTCTTAAGCATTGAGATCACGTTATTTACAATGACCTTGTTGGGCTATTATTTGAAACTAAACAATAATTTGAAATTTGGATTACATTTCTCCTTCCCGTTTTCCTCATCAAAATGTAAATGAGATAGCTAGTATTTAAACTGAGGTTTTTGGATTTTAAGAGAGAGCGTGTTTCTGGCCTACGTGTGCATGCTAGGTTTCATTCCTGCCAGTTTTAATTGATGTGATTATTCCGCTTGTGTTATTTGCTGCCGGCAGTTTGATTTTGACGCTGCGGTAATATTTTTGACTCTATTTAAATTGTGTAGTCTCTGACTACTAATCCATGTTTCAACTTGGATTAACTACATCACCACGAGCTGCGGTTGATATTGTTGCACAAGAAAAATGCATTTATGAGGTATGTTCAAATGAAAAGGTACGAAACGTCATAATATCATAATAATATAATATATCATAATATAATAATAAATAATATAATAAATTTGAATATGCCGCTTTGGCATAACGTTGTGAGACATCTAAGGACGCGAATGCCCGTACATGACGCCGGAGTGAAGCAGGCAGCTGTGTGTTCCGTCTAATTGATGCGGCAGTGCGTGTATGGCATCTTGCCGTTCAGAATGCAAAATTCGACGATTGAGCAGCAGCGAGATGCTATCAGATTTCTCCTGTGGAAGGGGTTAAACCGGCCGATATTCATCGCTGGATGGTGGCCGTATACGGAGTAGACTGTGTGCCCGACAAGTCAGACTGACTTGACACATGTTTCTTAAGATATTAGTAAACATCAGCTTAACTAACTTTCTTTAAGAGAAACTTCATGTTCAGAAAATCATGGAAATTAAAAAGAAAAATAAAGAAACAATAAACGTCAGTTAAATCAAACCTTTTTTTTTAAGTATATACCTCGGGCGATTATTCTAGAATAAAGGTCTTTATAGAGCTACATGGGATTAACATTCTGCAATTATCATACTTAAAGACAGGTTTTTGCATTTATTTCAGTGTACACATCTGTCACCAGTCCATTGAGAAACGCAGTTACAGTTTGCTGGATCTTTTCATTACCAGTAAAGTGCATTCCACAGTAAAACTTCTTCAGTTTTATGAAGAAACAACAAAACAACAATCTGTTTGGGCAAGTCGGAGCTGTAGGCCTGGGATTCTCCAAACTCCTGCCGAACTTCTTATTCACAAGGGCCTCGAAGTAACTGTTGTATGAGGGAGCCTTCTTAATAGTGCTCTATCCTAAACGTACCCCCCATTTATGCTAGTCAGCCATTGTTAAAAAAGACATTGAAACCTCCCTAACAGTCCTTTCGTCCTTATTCTTATGTGGACCAGCTTCTAATTTGTAAAAAGCACCTCCATAAAGCTGCAGGCTGCCTTATGCGGTAGCACCGTTATGCAAGTAAAATTCTCAATTGCTTTTTTTTAATCAGAATAATAAACTAAAAGCTTGTCCTAAATATCTGCGAACTGTATACTTTAGTCAGGTAACCCTCAAGGGATTTGCTATAATGGATTAAACAAATAAACATTGAGTTACGAAATCTCACTACTTCTGTGAAAGGTCTTTGGAAACCGAAGATTCATAAAGATAATATATAACCGTAAAACTCATCTGAAATATTTTTCTGATCAGAATTGATAATGTAAGAGCATCTTTAAAGAGCATTTGCTTTCCTTTTCCATAGGGCGCCGTATAAAGGCTCGCCATTTTAGGAACCGCACTGAACTACCACCATTAGCAGTCGACTCCAACTACGACTTCAACTATCAGGTAAGGAAAAATGTCTTGCATTCTGATGACGCAATGATTACCAGTAAAGCATTCCTGCAAACATGTTTTATAATGTAAACTTTGCGTAGTAGAGCTTCTATTAGTGTAACTTTGGTAACTGGAAATCTTCAATAAATAGAACTTGAATGCTTTTCTTCGACGACATACATTAAAATTACGTTTCTGCCACCGTATAAAATGGTGACGTATAAAGACTCGCCATTTTGGAAACCGCATTGAAATAACTTCAACTTGACTGTTGACTCCCGACTGCAACTTCGACTCTCAGGTTAGGAAAAAATGTCTTGCATTTTGGTGGTACATCGAATTACCAGAAAAGCTTCCTTGCAACCATGTTTTAAAATGGAAAATTTGCAGGTTAGAGCTTCGATTACTTACTTAAATGGAAGTACCTCGAAAGCAATATAATTTGCACTTTTGAATGATTTTAATTTTTAAAAATATACAAAATTCGGTCACCACGGTCAAAAACATCAGTCTTAATTTTGTTTACTTAATACATCTGAAATCGTTTCCATTAAAATACCGTCGTTTTACTAAAAGAAATTTGAAGGGAATTTTCCGATTGATTTTATGTAGTCGATGCCTTAAGGATTAGCAGTGAGAGTGGAGAAAAGTGTCAAATTGTCACCATGTAACACATTGCAAACAAATATGTCATTATAATTTGGCAGTTTTGGAGTACAATGTGTTACATGAAGTTAAACCTCTTCTTGTTGTTGACAAATGCTTACTTGTCTGACCTATAGTCAGCCCAAGCCCAAGAAATTCCTCGTGGCAAGGAGCACAAGATACGTCTGTCGTTGGCAACAGCCTTGAACACCTTACAGGTGTCAGCGCGATTTAGCTCAGTAAAGCCCCCAGGTTAGATGGAGAGCACCCGAGTACCGGCTCGAGAGTCTCCCACTCTCTTCCCCTATCATCAATCTCTCGAGAGGACTTTCGGCTCGCCGCATATTTAGAGTAGCCGTACATCATTATACATTTATTAAAACACGGACACTATACATTTACAAACAATCATGCCTTAATCGGGATTTGAACCCAGGTCCTTCGGCACGGCAGTAAGCGTCGCTAACCACTACACCGGTTATACTAGTTTGAAAATATATAGGTAACTCAGAAAAACCACAACCATAGGGTGAAACTCAATTTCTACTAAGCAGACCTTTATGAACGTTCTAAGAGACATAGAGCATGAAAAAGAATGTTTACCAGATGGCTAAAGGGCGACAAAAGTGTTTTTTTTCAAATCTTGTCTTGCTCTGAACTCAGTCCTTAAGCAAACTTTCAGGAGAGATAGAGTACACCTAGACAATGGGAAATCACATAGGAATGCACGATCGGAAACTCTTTCCCGGCGCGGTAGTGACGACACTAAAGTCAAGAAAGAAAGGACACGAACAGGGTGAGAAAACACGTTTATTATTCGGAGTACCACAAAAACAAAGAAAAAGCAACATAAAGAGACAACGATCATCATCAAAAAGGTGTTGGAAATTACGACACAGATCGTGATGCAGGAACCGTGCGTCATGCATCTTCCATTCGTGATGCAGATCTTCCACGAGAAGTGAAGTGAGGCCTCCATCATGGTCAGGGATCGTAATTTCGAACACCTTCTTTAATGAAAATCGTTGTTTGTTTTAGTTCTTATTTGTAGGTTTCTGCTGTACTAAACATAATAAAACATGGTTTGTCTCACTATTTATGTCGTTCCTTTTTTTGCGTTTTGTGTTGTCATTGCCGTGCCAGGAAGGCATTTCCGACCAGTCACTGCTATGTGATGTCCCATCGTCTACATGTATTCTATCTCTCTTGAAAGTTTGTCACCGCTGTACTAATACACCCTCTACTGAGAGAGAGAGGGAGAGATCATCTAAAGGCCATGACAATGTAAAGGGCTCTCTTCGGGGGACACTTTACTCAAGTAAAAGAGAAAACATTTTTTACTACTACTTAATTTAGCAAAGAAATTTTTTAATACTACTCAGTTTGGAAAAAAAAATACTACTACTCAATTTAGTCAAAAAAATTACTACTACTTAATTTAGCAAATAAAAATTTTATTACTACTTAATTTAGCAAATAAAAATTTTATTACTACTTAATTAAGCAAAAAAAAAAAAAAAAAAAAAATTTACTAAATTTAGCAAAGAAAATTTCTACTACTACTTAATTTGATAAAAAATTCATTAGCTTAACGGGACTGCTACATTCATAATGAATTCTATATTGTCCTTCACTTTAATTCATATCACTTTAATCTCACTAATTGGATTAAACTCAACAGGCAATTTTGCCTTAAATTCAAACTACCAGTTTGGCATCATACTTCTTACTTGAATAAAAGAAGAAACGTATTCACATTTATTAATTATTGTTAATTGAACGGTAGTTGGTTTTGTTCCCTTGAAAAGTCAACCAATTTCCGATCAATGACGATAATTACTTAGTTTATTGATTAATTTTCCCTTTAAAAGTTTCTATTTCTATTTTTCGTAATTACAATTCAAGTTTCTTAAAAAATTTCTTTTTCGCTATTCAATTTCATTGCTTCTAGGTTACTTCATTCAAATACAATTCTACTACTTTTATATAAGGAGATAATATACTCAATATTCCATTAGTAAATAAATTATTATTATATTACTTTGCAGCTATTGCGCAAGTATTAGGAAATTTATTTTCGATATTAATGTATTTCAATTAATTAATTCAATCTTTGATATATATATATATATACCCAATCTGTTACTCGGCTCCGTCATCTCAGTTTTATGTTCATATATGTTGGTAAATTGTGCATTTTTCGCTTTAAAAATGATTTAATCAGGTTGTTCTTACCTTTCGGTTAAGGTTTTTATGCCTTTAATTAATGTGCATGCAGCTACAATTTAAAGTTGTTTAAGTGCAACTAAGCCTAATTTTTTACCATAGCAGCCATATTTGTTTACATTTGAAACATAGCAGACTAGTGAATTAAATCAGTTTCTGCACTTTCAGTGTTTTTTTGCCGGGTGGGAGCAAAAGTAAACTTTCTGTTTTGTGCACCGAAAATCTGCCTTCTTGCCTGCTGACCGAATTGCTTATTTTTACGTAAAAACTCCAATTTTAATTGCAAAAATTGTTTTAAGTGTATTTGATTTATTATGTTTCACTATAGTTTTCAAATTTTAATGAAGGTATTGTGAAATTTTTATGCATTTTTGCTTGCCGGGAAGTGAGAACTGAATTAATTGAATGAGAAATTTCTCTTTGATGAAATTCGAAGGAATAAGTTTAAATGTAATGCAGCAAAAAATGGGTATAATGTACAACGAATGTACATTCCGTACAAGGAAGTCATGTAGTGTCCGCATCAAACTTTTTTTTAATTCCCCAACATTATGTGCAGAAGTATCTTGAATAGCTGTAATGGAGTCTTAAAAAAATAACAGTGTTTTTGAGATAGACACAGAATTTTTTTATGCCTTTTTAGTAATTTTTAACACACTCTTAATGTGAATTTATTTTCCAGATTTTCTAAGCGTATACATGAGCTTTATTTAATTAAGATGTAATTTTAGTTTCATTTCGTGTTAACGCTTTTAATTTTCAAGAAATTCTGAATTTTACCTGGCGTTGTTATATTTTCGCACCATGTATATGACTATTGTTTATTGCACTGCTTAAAAGACGTAATTTTAAACCCCTTTTATATTCTTAATACCTGTAAGTTTTCTACTTACATTAAATTGTTTAAAAATTTTTACCTCTTTTTAATTGTATATCGTAATAATCGTCTCGGTGAAGTTTTAAGGAACATCTTGTTTTGTGAATTATCAGTTAATTATGGAGTTATTTTTTCTTGAAGGAATACAGATATTACCAAGAAGAAGTCTCTCTGTTGCCGGTAAGAAAACATTTCATTCAGTTCTCTCATTTTGTGTCACCAGTTTGAATTGCACCACAACGGTAACAGCAGTTTGAATTGTGAAAGGCTTATTTTATGGAATAATGGAACTATTTCTCTTTTTATTACCCATTTTACTTATATGATTAATGTTGGATCAACAATGCAAATAAACATAAATAACAATGTGAAATTATTTTGATTTTTATCATGTTTAGGGAGACCAAGTAACAGTGGAATGCACCTACGATTCTTCTGGTAGAAATGAGACAACATTCGTAAGTTAGTTTGTTTCTTGCAAGTAATGTAAAATATGCCAATTATTTTACTGAACACAGAAACAAAACTTAATTATAGTAACTGAACTATAATAAAAATCAAAATTTAATTTTAATAAAAATAAACAAAATGGGGGAATATCAGCCCAGACCTTCGCGGCAAGGCAAAAATATACAGAAATTCAAAAAAGCTTTATTAAAAATTGTAAAATACAGAAAAACTTAAAACACCGAATACCGATAAAAATAATTAGAAAAAACAATTTTTGCGATTAAAATTAGAGTTTCTGCGCAAAAGCAAACAGTTGGACCAGCAGACAGGAAGAAGACAAAACTTTCGGTGCACAAAATTGAAAGCTAACTTTTCGTCCCACTGTGCAAAAAGACACCGAAGTTCGTCCACCAACTGACTTCAAGTCAATTCACTAATCCACTAAGGGTTGCAAATCTAAGCAAATGGCGATCTCGTTAGGCTTAGTACCACTTAAACAACTTTTTAATTATTGATAATTTTACAACTATTGCATGCAAATTATCTAAAGGTATGAAAACATTAACTGGAATATAAAAACAATATCAATCAAACAAAGTCAATCACTTTTAAAGCAAAAAATGCACAATTTACCAACATACGAGAATAAAAAAAACTGAGCTCACAATAAAGTAAAAAAACACAAAATAGGGAAGTAAAAAACACATGAAAGAGAAATAATGCCAATCATAGTTAACAGAAAAGAACCTTATTAATGGTTTACTGCTATTTTCGAGCCCTTTAATGTGGAGAATAAATGCATTTAATAATGTAAATTAAATAAATATTCAAAACAAAAAAGACTATATATAATGGAAGGATAGTAATCATAAGAAATAAAATAACTAAATTATAAATGGCATTAAAGAACAATGACTAAGAGGGGATAAGTATTACGCATTTTAATTTTCTTTTTGTGTTTTCCGAAAATAGTTTTTTTTTTTTTTGAAGTGTTCATGATAGCCATTTTTTTCATTGTTCCGCATGAAGTATTTTAGAAATGGGCGGTTAATTCGCAACCTGACGGCACGCGAAATTTCATGTTGACCTATTTGTTTGATTAGAAGTTATTCTTGAATTAAGTGTGAATATGTGGTGTCGGCGAATGTTTGGAAGTTTCTGTGAAAATCATTCTCTATGCTTTCTCTTTAAAGGGAGGTGAAAGCACCCGGCAAGAGATGTGTCTCGTCTTCTTCCTCTACTACCCTCGAATAGAGAGGTTCGCCTCGCTGAGTGTTCCTATTCTGCCTCTCATCAACACATTATTCAATACGAGGTAAGCGCCAGGTATATATTTGTATCTTATGTTCCTAAGTATAGAGATGTCGGATAAATGGTTGGAGGTCATCGAAGTTATTTTTGCTTTGGCATTAGTTTAATCTGATAATAAGCGTTCACCAACACCGCGCTGAAATACGCTCGTGTGCAAAATGAAGAGAATTTGAACATTATACCGAATTTCTCAAAAACTAATGGACAGATTTTAATGAAATTTGGATATTTAAAACCGAGAAAGAGATATGCCATTCAAAAGTCATAATATGTTGGTATGATTATCAATAAAGCTCATAGTGCAGGGATATGCAAAATTCACTTTATGATATTGAACTGAAAAGGAGTCCTCTCTTATGGCATCCTTCTTTGAGCCAGACAGGTCGCGCAGAGTGACGGCATACTGGACAGGCGGCAGCTAAAGAGTCCCTGTGGCAGTTGATTCCGCTCCTCCAGCAAGGCACGTTTCAACTCCGGGTTGTTTCTCTCAAGCGTATAATAATATTTGTTTACGTGCTCCGCATTTGGCACTACACGGACTAGCCCCAACTGAGAATATATTAGGCAAGGTCTGCCAGTGAAAAGTTTCCCCGAGAGGAAGAAGCTTACCTGTGCTACACCCCGAGTCCCAACTGAGGTGGCAGGCTTGAAAAATCTCTCTACGACCACAGCTACCTCCTGGGCCCAAAGTGTCACCATTCCCGGTTCTCAGGCCTCACCATGGCCGGGAACTATAAAGCTTGGAGCTTGGAGCTATAAAGCTTGGATTGGTCGTCTAAGTGCCCCCGCCAGTACTATGCGGGCAATCCACGAAGCTGAAGGTTTGACATGGAATACCTGCGATGACCACGGACTGTCCGTGACCACCGACAATACCGTGATTCGGGTCAAGAGGCAAAGCCACACCCGCTACCGATACCACCAGCCCGGTAGCCTATAGCCTTTCCACCCTTGATCCAACAGTACAAACGGTCTTCTCTCGGGGTTCTGGAACCACCAAGCTCGAAATGCTTTTCCCCAGAGTACACTGTCATGGCATAAATAAAGCTAGTACTGCACCCCGGGAAGTTTCCAGGGATATAGGAGATGAAATTCCCCTCTCAAGAGCGTCCCAGACATGCTACATTAGCTTGAAGTCAAGAGATCTGACTGGTCAATCCGTGCGGCAAATATCCTGACATTCCAGGACATTCGATTAGCTGAACCCTAAGTGGACAGTCGCTGTCGATCATTAATAGGAATCCAGGACAAACTGCACCCCTGAAAAATCAAACATGAGGTTCTAAGTTCTCCTGTTTATACCTCATAACAGACAGGGAGCCTTTGTCGAACACAAGCAGGGGTATCCGTCTGTACATCTTAATGCCTACCCAAACTGTTACATTATGATCCTTTTGCCTGAGGAAGGATAGGTGGAATCTGGTTCCAGGCTTTCTCCAGGTACAAGTACGCCGAGAATTGTTATCGCTGAGTCTCGACTTAGTGCAGAACGAAGGATGCTGAATTGAAATTTGATCCAAAGTGCATGTTGTCTGTTCCATGCTAAACGTACTCTCCTGTATACTGCTGTGAGCGGGACGCAAACAGCGGGGCTTCTGGCATGCAGCCCTGTTTCGTGAAGACTTTGGGCAACTACAGACCGTGAAACTCGTTTCCCGGTGGCAGCACGTAGCTCAAGTGAGAGCTATGAAGTTGTAGAAGTCCTGTGTCACCGCGCTTGAAGGTGCCAAATAACGATTCTTATTCGTCGTTGTGGATCTTAGTCGCCCTTGTTCAGTTCTCGACATTTATTCTGTCACTGTTCTGAAACTGTTTACCCGAATTGCAGACGGCACTAGGCGTTACATTGAGCTCTCTAGCCATCTGAGTTTGTGGGCTGGCCTACTTCTACTTTACCGACAATTCTCCAACTCATTCGTCCATTAGATGAGCCCTAAGTCGACTAGCGCTGTCGTTCATTAACAGGAATCCAGGACCAACTGCACTCCTGAAAAGTCAAACATAAAGCTCTAATTTCTCCCTGTATACCTCATAACTGTCAGCAGTTCGTAGCTACTCATCTTACCTGGCATCTTATAAAGTTTACCCAATTCTTGCGGGAACAACTGCGAATGTCGTGAAGGAGTATGAAGACACAAATCACCGAAAATCCATCATGCCCTTATTATACTCTCCATAACTAATAAAACACTCCATATAATCCGCAGACACGTGCGTGTACGCTTATGTATTCCACTCAGTATTAACATAATTTTTTAGCGGCATCATTAGTATCTTATTTTTCGTAAAAATAGGCACAATTTGCAAGGGATTGCAGAACTTATATTACTTGGCTTCCGAATATTCTGAACTCCAATTATTCGGAACTTGATTACACGGACTGCTTGTTACTCCTTGTACGAAGTAAAAAGGAAGTATTGTAATCGCGAAAAGTTTCAGGCAGCATATTTCAACGAAAGTATCCATTTTGACCGCTATCGAATGCAATTTAACGATGTTTTTGCGTGATATCTGTACGCAAGGACAGAATAAAATACTCTTTTCCATCAAAAAAATTATAAAACTGCTTTAAAATTAATTCTGAAGAGAATTTTTCGTGGCGTCTGTTCGAACGTATGTACGTACGTATCTCGCATAACTCAAAAACGAGTAGCCTCAGAACCTTGAAATTTTGTATATAGGAATGCTGTAACATGTAGATGTGCAACTCGTATTTTGGTTGCAATCGGCCGCACCAAACGTATATAAATATATTTATATATATATATATCCACTCTGTTACCCTGCTCAGCGATCTCAGTTTCTTTACTCTTATATGTTTGTAAATTGTACATTTTTTGCTTTAAAAATGATTGAATTATGTTGTTTTTATCTTCCGGTCAAGGATTTTATGCCTTTAGTAAATCCGTGTGCAATATTTTTAGAATTATCAGCAATTTTAAAGTTGTTTAATTGCCGCTAAGCCTGTTTTTTATGGCGGCCATTGATGTTTACATTTGAAACAGGAGACTAGTGGATTTGTTGCCAATCTAGAGAAACTTAGCTTCGCAACAACAAAGATAACGCATTCATTTATTATTGCCAATTAAATCATGCATAATTCTTTGTGGAATTTTTTCGAGGAAATAAGTGTTTGAGATTTGCTTCGTAATTTTCAATATAGATATTTTGAGTTTTTATGTATTTTTGCCTTCTCGCGAAGTGAGAACTGAATTAATTAAATGAGAAATACTCAATCGTCTGTGAAAAACTGTTTCTTTCTTGTTTTGTGCTTTATTTCTTTCATACATCATTGTAGCTTTATTATAGTATTTGAATAGAACATGTGGCAACGATTAGATAATTCTATTCTTTAAATGATATAAATTTTGTGCATTATGAGTTATAATATGAACGAAATATATAAGTTAACTGTTATATAATTATTGGATTATATAACAGTTAACTGAGTTTCTGTTATATAATTATTATATAAGTTAACTGTTATATAATTATTAACACTGTTAAGTGAATCTAGCGCCAGAGTGTCGCTATGGTAAACAAATACTAGAGTGAATTTTAAAGAATGCATTTATTCTATAGTGGTTTATGCGCTGTCGGCGAATTAGATTTAATTCAATCCAATAAGTTTAAATGAAATGCAAGGATAATGCGTATAATTTAATATTCCAATACAAGTTTACACATCAGATTTTTTTTAATAGGTCACAGTAATAGACTCTTGTTTTCACTCTTTTCATCTTGAGTTAAATTACATTTATAGAATATTTATTAGAATAATCTATTTGAATTAAACATTTTTAATAAAATTATCTAACAATTTTTGAAAAATTAATCAATTTGGTTATTATCAACATTTCAGTCTCAGTAACAAATAATATTTGTCATAGTTAAAGAATCGGCCCACCAGCGGCCGAGCGGTAAAGTCGCTGAACACTGGTAGTTCGGTCCGAGGTTCGAATCCCGCGAACGGGCTGGCTGCATGGGTGTTTTCGTGGTTTTCCCCATGTGTAACGTGTATACGAGCCAGTTTCCCTTAGAAAGTCCTCCACGAAAGGCATCCCTCCTCTTAGGCAGATAGCACTTGTGTGCTTTGCCATAATTAAATACACCACACCACACACCATAGTTAAAGAATAATTTTTTTAGAATTTTCAAATGCATTTCTTTAAAATTGACAGAAAATTAATGCGCTTAATTGAAAATATCGTCGAGAAATTAAAGTAATAATCCCATTTAATTAAAAATGACAATGTGATTGAAATATTGATGATACTCAAAATGATTATTTGTAAATGTCTCGTGAATTTCATCGAGTGTAAAACTTAACTGCATATTTTATTTCATAGAAGGAAATAATTAAGAAAATCATTCCTGTTACTTACGTATGCTCACTTGTCTGACGGTAACATCAGCCCAAGCCCACAAAACTTCCTCGTGGCAAGGAGCGCAAAGATGACGCTTGTCGTTAGTAACAGCATTGAACACCTTTGAGGGCAAATGTGCGATTTAGCGCCCCCTCCCCAATTTTGATGGAGAGCACCCCGGGAGGACGAGTTCGAGGGCTTCCCACCCCTCTTCCCTTCCATCAAACCGCATGAGAGGACTTTCGGCTCGCCACATATTTAGAGTACCACCATGCCGCACCAACACTATACATTTACGAACATCTATGACCGGGACTCGAACCAGGGCCCTTCGGCACGGGAGTTAGCGACGCTAACGACTATACCGACTGGGCGGCAAAAACAATCGTACCTTCTAAAGGTTCACATGCTATTTTCAAAGATTTCCGATCTTTCCAATAATGCAAGTTTATATATAATTCATTTCAATTTTTCTCTGGCTAAATTTGATTTAAAAATCTGTCATTGGTAGCAACCTTGCACACACTGCCACATTCTATTGATTTATTTTGAAAACAAAATCACAAGGCTTATATAAATCTCTTTATAGATTTGGAATGAAATAAATTAAATAATAGAAATAAATTCATTTTGAAGGTAATCTTCTAATCTATCTGATAGCGCAAAGATCAAATTTGGGTTGGTTTTCGATTGTTTAGAAAGGAAAAATGTGAAAAAACGGAAGAATGTTACTTCGGACTTAAACAATAATGTATGGAATTTTGAGAAACAAATAGTGGGAGAGGGAATTTTACTATCATCGTAGTTAGTAGGAATAGAGTAATGTGTTACGATACAAAACATGTTCCTATTTTTTTCAGTTCGTTATATCAGTGTTCAGTTTACAGTGAATATTAACTTTATTTATTAACTATCACATTCTTCTCACTTAAAACACATAAAATTCCATTCAGCAGCAAAATAACAAAATATTTAAAAACAGTATATCTTTAGAATTTCCTAGGAAGTAGGTTAAATCGATGTCAAAATTCCGCTCACAGTGAAACACCACGAGTGAACTAAAAAAGAGCTTTTAATAATGATCTTTAGCTTTACTTAAAAGCCGCACTAAGAGAACTCATATGAATTACGCTCCAGTCCGCGTGGAATAAAATTAAAGACTTTATATGTTTTGCGAAATGGCAACACTTTCTAAATCGCTGGATAATAAATACACTGGTAGAGTTGCGTAACTTTTAAAAACTGTCAAGTCAATCCTTAAGCGTCACTATATATATTTCTAACGTCAAAAATAAAAATACTAAGTGCATTCATCACTAGAACTATCTGTTATTTAAAGTTTTGTTTTTGATTTAAGTCTCAAGATGAAAGATGTCAGAGATGGTTCTTTCTACAAGTATTTCCGGCATTACAACTGGGAGAAAACAAACCTCAACATAGTAGAAAATTCTTTGAGGTACGCCATGCACGATACTCATTGTTATCTGGGAAACGGCGAAAAGACTTCGGTAAGTTTATTTCTTTTTTCCCTTCATGCTTTTTCTTCCGTAAATTAATAAATTTAAAGTTAAAATACTGGATAATTAGTGTTTTTGTAATATCAAATAATAAACAATTATTAAACTGCTTGGTTTTGTATGATTTTCTATTAAGAAAAAGCCATTAAGAAAAGGAACAAAACAAAATAAAAATGATCAAAATAATAAAATAATTAAAATATTAAATAATTAAAATTGGAGTTTAATTACAAACAAAAAATTAAATGCAAACAAAATTAAATAAATTTTTAAATTAATGGATATTTAAATAATAAAAATAAAATATCGGATCTCGTCCTATGAAGAACTGAGGCTGTAATTACAATTTTATAAGGATATCAAAGAAATAGCTCACCAGAGTTCCGGCTCAATTTAAGCCTTGAATAAATAGTGTAATGCGGCATTTCAAAATATGATAGAACATGGGCCTTTCTTTTTTCAGCACACCCATAAAAAAAGATAAAACTGTTAAAGTGCCATTCACCAGAATAGAAAGTATACTAGAAAGAGTAATAGAGAGAATGTAGAAAGAAATTTAATTACGTAGGCCCTTTCTTCCAATTTCGCTTCTCCCTTGTCAGCTGCAGAGAAGTGTGTATTCCCTAGTTTACTCACTAATCTCAGCCCTACGAGCCAGATGGGGGGGGGGATGGAAGCTTCTCTCTGTCTGCCTTTTCAGTTCTTCTCTCTTTAATTTTCTCTCTATCTTTTTCTGCCCTTTCATCTCATCTCTTTTTAATCTCATTAACACCTACATCTATTTTAACACCACTTTGAATTTTACAATTATTAGTAAATTATTATTACGAATTTTGTATATATGCAAATAATTTTAGTGAAACTATACGGGAAATTTCTGTATCTCCTTCATAAGGTAATTTAAAACGCCTTAAAAAAAGCTGTGCCGAAAAAATAAGACTACAGAGACAAGTTTATTTAATATTGAGTTAATGGTTATTTCACTAAACTGGCGAGAAACTGTACGCAAAATTTTGTGAGAAATCGCCCCGAAGTCTCCAAACCTGGCAACCATTTGACGGCAATCTGGTTCGGCCCACGTAATTGGTACAGTAAATTGAATAACTGCAATGGGATCCCTATATGTAACTGTAACCGTTTCCGGCCTTTATTATGTAACTTCAACCGTATATGCCTTCCAATAGTTTAGAGAAATGGAGCCGTCAATCAGTATAGTAGTTAGCGTCGCTGATTGCCGTGCCTAAGGGCCCGGGCTCGAATCCCGGAGAAGTCATGGATGTTTGTAAATGAATAGTGCCCATGCGGTATGGGGGCACTCTAAATATGCGGCGAGCCAGAAGTCCTCTCGAGAGGTTGGTGGTAGGGGAAGAGGGGGAGACCCTTGGTCCCGTCCCCCCACTCCGGGGTGCTGCCTTTCAAAATTGGGGCGGAACTGAGCTAAATCGCACTGTCATCTGTATGGTGCTCAAGGTTGTTGCCAACAACAGGCGTATCTTGCGCTCTTTACGACAAGGTGTTCCGTGGAGCTTGAGCTGACTATAATTAAGACAAGTGATCATTAGTCAACAACGACAGCAAGAGAAATGGGAGAGACAAGCCCAAAGAGAGCACCAGCTCTCAGTTTTTAGTTCAGAGCTGTCTTCGGAGTATAGAGAGATCGTGTGAGATTCGCTATTTGGATGCGCTTTGCATTGTGCTGTGTTTAACTTTCTTAGTGATTTTGAAATGGGAACTAATGATCATGCTGTGTTATATTGAGAAGAGCTGTGCGAGTACCTTTATGGAACGTTCCATAACTGTCAAGTGTTTCTTTGGGGTAAATAAATTTTATCAAGCTAGTATGGATTCTGGGTGCATTCAATCTACTACGAACTCGTAAGCACGCAACATTATTTTGTTAAACAAATTTCAGTTCGTGATTAATAAAACGTCTTCCTAACTTCTTTTTTTAATGTATTTTTTAATTTTCATTTAAATATTTATTTAGTTACACGTTATACAAAATTTTAGATCATAAGCAATAATAAGAAAGCTTGTTAATATTGGTACGGAAGTTAAATACAATTTCCGTTATCGGGACCGCACTCAGAAATATTTGTATATATGCACGTATATGTGTGTGTACATACGTAGCTACATATATATGTAATATTTTGGCAGTCGGGTACATGAGTGAAGCTTGGCAATCTGGTCACGTCAGAATTCCGGCCATTGTTGAGGCTGAGTGTGAGGCAGCATCCAGTGACGACACAGAAGGATTTAAATTTATAGCTCCATACCTTTATTCAATTCAAATCGCAGATCATTATTCTTTTAGATTAAATTCTCCAAAACTACATATTTAATAGTGATTTACTAAATAAGATTAACTTTAAATTTACTGCTTCGTACTATTCGAACAAAGGGAGACGAATGGTAAGAGCGGCAGCAAAGATCTGTTAGCAGCAGGAGGAGAAAGCAGTTTCTGACGTAAGATGTCGCGAATTCTTCATTTATAGGATGGTTATGTAATATGCTCGAAAGTACTGGTCTAGGGGGAAGATCCTGAAATTGCGGAAAGTTAATTAGAAGTTGCCTGTTTGCGAAGAGCAAAGCCATCGCGAAGAGCCATTTTTATATTTTACATCCCCCTCTCCCTCAAAACGAGAGGCCGGGCGAGCAAAGCATTAGTATATTAGTGAAGCAAGAAATATTTTAGAGTCTGAGGTAAGAAATGAAGGAAAACATCCAGGACATAGCTTACAGGCTTTAACTATGCCCTATCATAATTCATGATTTTTGAGAATTTAATCTAAAAGAATAATGATCTGCCATTTAAATTGAATAAAGATATGGAGCTGTAAATTTAAATCCTTCTGTGTCGTCATTGGATGCCGCCTCACACTCAGCCACAACAATGTCTGGAATTCTGATGTGACCAGATTGCCAAGCTTCACTCATGTTCCCGACTGCCCCAAAATATTACATATACATGCATACACGAACACATATATCCATACATGCATACATTTCTGAGTCCGGTCCTGATAAACAGAAGAGTACTAATAAGTGTAATAAATGTAGTAACATTATTTTCATAAATTAAACATACATAAACCACTGCTCACTTTTATACAATAACAATATATTACGGAGGTCACTCTGAAATTTTTGAGATACGTGCGGACGGTAAGAGGCAGAAAAAATTAACGATCAGATTTGAAAATATGAACTAGTAGACGATTTTTATTGACCAATTGCAAGTAGTTGAGGGTAGAATAAATTTTTGGCGGAAAGAAAAGTGGAGATGACGACGGAACATTATCCCACTATGATTTTAAAGTTAGATTAAATCAAGTAGAATGCTTTTAACTTCTACACATCACATTTGGAAACGAAGGTCCATTTCGTGTTACTCTCTTCAGATTGTTTTACGGAATTTCACAGAGGTCGCAGCTCTCTTCAGGATGAAGAACACGCAAGAAGGCTGTTGTCAGCAGTCAGTCCGGATAATGTGCCTGTCGTACGGAAAATGTTAATGGATGATAATCGCTGCACCTGCCAAATGATACAGAAGGAACTTAACATTGGATCCGCCGCCATACATAAAATTGTTCATGAAGAATTGCGTCTGAAGAAACTAGTTTGTCTCTGAATTCCCCATAATTTAACTTGGCACCAAAAAGAGGAGCGTATCAGAATCAATAAAAAAACTCTTGAATAACTCAAAGATGGTGGGCATTGTTATTATTTCTAAAATCGTAACTGGGGATGAAACATACTTACCAACACGTCAAGAAAGAAAAGTATGTGTCTTCGAAGAGGATCCAAGCTCACAATGGTGAAAAGACAGCGTGCCGTGAAAGAAGTAATGCATGCTGTTTTCTTTAGAAGTACAGGATTGGCCAAACCATCAAACTGGAAGGACAGAAGACAGTCGCTCTTAACTGGTACACCACTAAGTGTCTTCCAGAAATTCTTCAGGAAGTGAATGTTAGAGGACTCGTGCTCCACCACGACAATACATCATCTCATTCATCAAGATTGGCAGTTGAGTTTCTTGAATAAAAACACATCAAAGTGACAAAACATCCACCTTATTCACCCGATCTAGCTATGTGCGACCTTTGGCTATTTTGTAATCTAAAAAAGAACTTCCGTGGACGTCGTTTTCATTCCGAAGACGAGCTTGATGAGGCTATGAATGCATTTCTTTTCATTAATTTCAAGACATGAATGACTTGAGAAATTTTATTCATTGGAAAGTTCGCCTACAAAAGTTCATTGATGCTGGGAGAGACTACTTTGAACACACCTAAAATTCTTTGAGTATAAATTTAGAAACCTATGCGTATGTAAAAAATTTCAGAATGGCCCTCGTATTTATTTTTCATTCGCATCTTCTTCCTTTTAACTGTCAAAGCGATTAAGAATTTAGCGTATTAAGAATGATTATTTTAGATAATTATTAAGGCAGATGGAGGAAAAGATTAATTATTTGATCAATGTAATGTAAAATTTTTTTTTGAATTTCGCAATTTAGTTGTCCAAACATCGCAAATTATAACGTTTAGGCAACAAATTAATCTGCGATTTACGAGCTATAGATCTTTGACAGACAGACAACAGTTAAAAGACAGAAAAATACTTAAAGATTTAAATAAATCTTCAGCTACAAAATGGAAAATTATTGAAGAATTCTAAACATGTTTTACTTTTATGTCTTCCATTTTATCTCTCCTATCGTCGACGCTCTGGGAATCATCGGTCTGGGAATCATCGGGTCGCTCTATGCGTTCTCTCACAGTATAAGTGTTTATCACATCTAGCTAATAAATGGAAGATCAATGTTTCGAATCCTAGTGAGAGCACAGCTCTTTATTCCAAAAGGTATTCTAAAGTGGATTCAAAATGGATTACAGATGGATTTTTTTAATTGACGTCTGTACGTACATATCTCGCATAGCTCAAAAACGATTAACCGTAGAACGTTGAAATTTTGTATATAAGATTGCTATAGCATCTAGTTGGGCACATCTTTTTGCAACTGGCAATATCAAAAGTATCAAAGAGAGAGAGAGAGAGAGAGAGAGAGAGGTACTGATGTAGGAACACTGAGACTAGAAAAGCAGAAATTCTGATGACAAAGCACGTAGAGGGCATATTGAAGAGGATCAATGCTGAAGAGAAAGAATTTTGATTGCGCAGAATGCTGATCCGTGCTAAATAGAACACTTGGCAGTCGAGGCAGATTAAATTCTATTTTTATTTAAATTCACATTTGTGACCACAATTCATGTAATACTCTAATTGTGCATATTTTCAGAACATTTACATTTATTGCAATAGGAAGAGAGCACAGCGAAATGAAATGGCGTCCAAACAGCAACAGAGCTACAAGCGAAGTACGCATTTATCCCATATGACAGTTCACCAAAAGGAAGATTTTGGCTTACGTTAGAAAGGTTTTATTTCTCAGAATTTAGGTTCCGAAACAACTGCGTCATTACTGCGTTACGCAAGTTCTGTGTCATAGATTAATCTAGAAATGGCACAGTCCAAAAATGTTGTTATTAGTTTTAGAATAAAGAGGAAATAACCAAATTAAAAAAGAGGAATTAAAAGACAATTATCAAATTAAATTATAAAGCTGATTTATATATTTTTTATCTTACACACACACACACACATATATATATATTTAACAAGTATTCTCTATTCGTATAAGCTAAATAAATTAAAATTTAATTAAGAAATTTATTAAAAAAAATAAAAAAATAATTATTCCTGCGAACTAATTTACAATATTGTTTAAATTCTAAGAGCATATGTAAATTAAGTGCACAATCTAATACCATGAAAAAAGTATATAATATTCAAAAAAATTAATCTCAAAAGAATTTTTAAGACCGAAATAATTTGCATAAGTGAATAATTGTTGAGCAGGCAGGAGACAGACTTATCAAGCGGAAGTTGCCTCCAAACCTAACTCTTCAGTTACTCAATTCGTGTTTCGTCATCCATATAGACAAGGCTATAGTAAAATTCAAAACCAAAAGTAAAACCAAATGTTGTGAATTACTAAAAAAGAAATTTAAACTAGTAGGAATTTTGGATTTTCATCCGCAGAGAACCCGTTGGCGCTTCGGGAAAGAACCCTTTGGCGCCGTTGCATTCTTACTCGCCAAGCTCGCGGTTTATCGACGATGAGCCGAGCCGTAAACGTGATATTTTGTAAACGTGATTTTTAGTGAATGTAAATTCAAGTTAGCAGATAAAACAATATATTAAGCATATGGTAGTAAAAATTCACAGATAATAAGCATGTAGATGTAAAACTAAAGGGTTAAACGTGATATACGAAAATAAACTTGTATTAAATTCAAGTTAGCACAGAAAAAAATATATTATTAAGCATAAGACAATATATAAGCATTTATAACGGAAATAAAAAATTCATTTAAAAAATATAAATTAGTATTAATGTACTGAAATTAACCGGTTTTTAACGGTTAAACGTGATAACGAAAAAAAATTTGTCTTAAATTCCAGTTAACACAGAAAACAATATATTCCTTACACCAGCAGTGGTTTGCTAATTTTGATGACCATGGTGATGCATCAAACTATTCTGTCATCTTAGATAATCATATTTTTTATTTCAATTTAATCATCTATTTATATCACACCTGCCATCCTCTGAAAGGTTAACATTAACAATATATTATCTTGTTAAAATTTTACGCCATAAAAATTGATTTATTCTCATAATTTTAGATGACAATAACCAATAATAAAAATAAAAGCATTACTTAATTATTTAAAATGCACATTTTTGCGGCCTACGGAAACAAATTATTTTAGACTTGGAAACCTCATAGTTTAGAGCTGTTAATAATTAAGAACACAACGTGAATAACCGTGTTACAAATTAGCATTCACCCCTCCTTTTTCTCCTTTCATCCCGAACCGAGAATCGGCATCTATCTACGAAAATATTTCTATCTATTCGTTGTTAAAAAATTCAGAAAAAAAAATAATAAATAAGAGAAGAATAATAATATAAATCTGCAAATGCGAACAACCACAGTGATAATTCAACAAAATAAACGCAAGAGGAATGGTTGCAAACTTCGAACAAAGCGAAAAGAATAAATCCGCTGGGTTAAGGGTTGTTACTTTAAAACTGTTATCGCCAAAGTTGGCGATGTTTACATTTATCGGGTTCTCTGCGGAAGTGCTTCCGGGATTTTGATAAATTTAGCAAGTAAAATGAGTAGGAATTAAAATATTAATTTAATGTCAATATAATTAAGAAAGTAGAAAGAAAACCAAATTTTTAGAGTAAGTAAGTAAGTAAGTAAAGGTTAAGAGTAGAAAACCAAATTTTCAGAAAACCAAAGTAATTTAGAAACTCTTGCATATTAAAAACTTAACCAACACGAATTATGTATGTAAACCTAAAATAAACAAAATACAAAACTAATACTAAAAAGGCTAGTAAATAACAAGTTTTAATTTAACTTATCTAGAACTACACATTTGAATTCCTGAGAGTGGATTAGCGTTTGCTAAACTGAGTTTGAGTAGTTTGTTACTGCTAACTGTATAAATAAAGGGCGCTATTACAATGTGAAGATGAGTGCTACCTGTAAGAGCTATTGTAAAAACCTATGTGAGTAGGTGAGTAGTTACTGCTAACTGTATAAATAGAGGGCGCTAATACAATGTAAAGTTGAATGTTAAGCTGCTACCTGTGATATATATATATATATATGAGAAAAATAAAGAATATATAAAAGATTAAATTAGCAACGTAAATTTCCCTTCTCTATTCTAAAAATAGTAACCTCTCTCTGCACTGCGTCATTTCGAGACATCTATGTCATATGATTCTTACGTAATTATGATGATGTAAATGGAACTCAACCAGCCAATAGTAATTTTAGAGCAATATTAACTGTCCAATCAAAATGCTTTGAGAGCCAAAACTAACTCAGTTTGACTTCAGATTTCATCCTGAACATTACGCACTTGCTTTCCACGCTTTGGCCTAGCTACATTGCTGTCTGTCTGTTGCTGCTTTCTTGCTACAAAGTTATCTAAAAGGTGAAATCTATTGGAATACGCACATTTAATGTGCCGACTTGTGTGTAGCTGAAAATAAAACTGAAGATTTAATCTGCTTTCTCCAATTTTCTTGTCATTATGGATCAACACTTCTACGCCATCCACATTCCTGCTTCTGAATATATTAATTACATATATATAATAGAAATACAGATAAAGAAATCTAACTTTTAATGTGTTCTCCCGTTTCCTATACTTATATTTGGGAAAGTTTTAGACTGGGGGGGGGAAGTTTCCCTACGGTACAACACAAATTGACCGGAATATTTGATTTTAAAATTTGAAATTTTTTATTTCATTTTCATCTTTCCTCGAACGATCGGTTAATTAATTTAGAACAATTCGATAAAATATGTTTAATTGCAGAAGAAAATGTGTATAATTTAACAGGCCACATTTTCTTGTGGTTATTCACAAGATATTTTTTAGTTCTTGTTTTGTTTAAATTACTCTGATTTAATTTTATAAACTGGCAACATGAAGTATTATTATTATATTTTTAATAACAAAAATTCTTTTTAGATTGTAATCTTAGGTTTTCAAATTGTAAGTTCGTTAAAAAATATTTCTCATTTGTGCAATGTCCATTTCGTGATTAGGTGCGAAGTCTGATATCTTATCCAGAGGATCTCACCGAATACAAGATATCCACACCTTGCGGGAAGGGCACAGAAAAGAGCAGACGATATGGCAACAAAGAGGTCCCTAGTGGAGTTCCGAATCTGCGAGTGAACAGTGCACTTCTTTCTTATCTTCTCCTTTACAGCGCACTTCCTATCTTATGGCAAGGAATCCAATTCCTAGTTGTAGCTCAGTAAGACTGATATGTTATGGCCACTACCCGAACATTCGGGGTATTAGTTAATACATTTATACTCAATGTTTTGTCAGTGTTGAGCTTTATTACTCAGCAGAACATGGGGTTCTGAAACCTGCTTAAGTCATCGAATATAATGTCATGATTCTTCTTTCTGACAGAAATATATGATTAAACTCAGCTTTTCCATTTTTCAAATGCTGTACCTGTCACTGTATCAGGTCATTTATATACCGTATGAACTGGACAGTATTGACAATCCACAACGATGCTTGAGGTCCTTAACTGATCAATCTCGTGGTTTCGTGAACAGGAGTTCACAACGATGTTACCATTAATGGCAAAGCATATTTAAAATGTTAAAATCAATACTGCATTGCTGAGCAATTTAAAAGTGATAAATGTACGTCGTCATAATTTAAGTATTTATTTTATTTTTTAATACATATGATTTATGTAGGGGTTGGGTTATTCAATTATGGCAAAGCACACGAGGGCTATCTGCCTAAAGGGAGGGATGCCTTCGTGGAGGACTTTCTAAGGGAAACTGGTTCGTATACACGTTACACATGGGGAAAACCACGAAAACGCCCATGCAGCCATGGACCGTTCGCGGGATTTGAACCTCGGACCGAACTACCAGTGTTCAGCGTCTTTACCGCTCGGCCGCTGGTGGGCCCTATGAGTTATGTAATCTAAAATAAATATGGTATTGAAAAGTTATTGTGATCATTTACAACATTACTCTAGTTATTGAAATACATTTCTGTTAACGCTACTTCTTTCTTTAATGTATTACAGAAAGAATTATGGGTACTTGCGTATTCATGCGACTACCTTGGCGCAATTTGGCGATTTTTTACAGATGAAAAGGTAAAAGTTACTTGGCTATTTTCGGGACATTTTTTAAAGAGATTTACAATATATTGGTATTTATCTATATTGGCAAACATTATCAATGTATGAAAAGTCAACATATTATAGCAATTTTAAATACAAATTTTAGTTGTTAAATAAGGATTTCCTGATACATTAAAAAAATAAAACTCTTATATTCGTCTCCAAATCTCTCTATAGTTTTTCTGCAATATTCTTCCCCTCCCCCGAGTACACAGAGAACTATGAAGGGAATTTCAGAAATTTTTTGAGAATCATGCATCATTATGCATACATCAAAAATACATTTTGATGAAATTATAATGCGATTGGAGATAAATCTGACCGATTTTGTTATTTTTCCGGTAAAGGATTATATACGATAATTACGGAAGTGATTATTGTATTCGGTGGGAAGGAATTTCTCAAATGAAAAAAGGTATTGTTACTTAGATTTCAACCAACATCAGTGATATTAATATGCATTGTAAAGTAGTGTACTTAAGGTAACCGATCTCGTTCAAAAGGCCAATTGCGGCTAAACAGTTTAAAGATCACATTCTTAACTATCAAAAACAACTTTTCGTTTCTTGATATGATGATCAGAAGTGAAGATATACTAATTTTTCTGACAGATGACAAACCGGAAGTTACTGTCTGCCATACCGGAAGTCTGAGTTTAAAGGGCAAATTAAAGCTGCAGTTTTCACGCTTTTTTATGTTATTTTTTAATTAAAAAATTGTAAGCATTTGAAATATATCTGGAGAATTTAACAAAGTATTTTTAGTACTTTGTTAAAAAAGTACCGACGTATACTTTCGTACGCACCAAGTACGAAAGTAGACAAAGTACTTTCTGATTTTCCTTTGGCAACGTGAATAGTTGTATATGTATGCCATGCAACGTTAACCTGAAAACTTTAAATGCAATTTTTGATTTTTGATGTTTTTAATGATTTATGTTTACAAAAACGATGATAACTCTAAAAGTTACTTTTAGAATCAGTAGAAATTTTGCATTCAGAGTTTGTACATTATTATGCATGATGTAGAATAGGAGTTAAAAAATTAAACTTATAGAATATGAATTATATAATTTTTCCTTCAATAATACATGTATTTTTAAAATTAATTAATTTTATAGAATATAAATTATATCATTTTTTCTTCAATACTGTATGTATTTTTTAAATCTTTTAGTATTGACTTATATAGTTGACCATATATTACTACTGAATCAATATTTTCTAATTATTCTACTTCACTGGGTGCTTATGGTTAGTATATATAAAAGAAAGTTAAAAATATATTTTTATCATCATTATTTTCTTTTCTGTTATGGTTGAGTTTTTGTTAATTTACATCGATTTTCAGTTCTTTATGTGTAATTTTCACAAAATAATATATTTTTTAAATCTCTTTTGTAGTTATTATATTTAAGTGTGAGAGTAATCCAGTAAAAAATCTCATAATTTCAGAAATATAACAAACACTTTGAAAAAAAGGCCCTTCGAAAGAGGTTGGTTTGCTCAAAATGAGGAAATGTACTCATGCTTAATTTTATTTCAGTTGAACCATATTAATTCTTCTTACCTATGGTCAATCTTCGATTAGCTGAAAGTGAAAAGAGTAGGGAAATATCTAATAACCGAAAATTCGACGTATTTAAAAAAGTTAACATAAATTTTAAATTCCACTCTTTTTTTCATTCAACTCAACTCAAAAATTAAATTGAAAATAAAACAAAAACTTTAATTTGGCTTTTGATCAAAGTTATATTGCATCAAAACACAAGGTATTTTTATACACTGTGAAATAAAATTACATACTTAGTAGAATTCAATTAAATTATGAAAGAGAACAAAGGGGAACCAAGCACGTGACTTTCACTGCAATGTATGTTTCATTTTATTTTATTTATTTGTTTTTTAAGTTCATCTAATTTTATTGCAGTAAAGATCTTACAGTTAAAAAGGAAGACATATATTTTTCGTTTCGAGGAAATAAAATATAAAACTCTCTGATTCCAATAAAATTATGTTTTAAAATTATTTTTTATTTGGCAGAGTACACAATGCATTTCTCTTCCAATTAAAATACAATCCTGAATTTATTCTGCATTTAAATAAATCTTAAAAAAAAGTATCTAAAACTTATTTTTATTTTATTCCTATTAAAATAAGAAATGTATCATTCATATTTGTATGAAACCAAATTTCATAAGCTATTTCTATTCAAATAAAATTAGTTAAAGTTATTATGTTTTACTAAATAAAGTAATAAAATTTCATATTATTAAATTTAATTTTTAAACTGAAGGCGAAAAGCTAAGTAAATCACTAGCAACCATTTGAAGTTCGCTTTTGTTCTTTATCTTTGATTAAGAAATTCGAACGAGCAATCTGGATAATTTTTGGTAGCTTTAGTTTCAATAATTGTTGTTCTGCACTAATTTATAACTAATGTGCTACTTTATGCGTCAACAGTTTGGAGCCATGCAACGAAAACAAATCTTCGAAAAATGCAGACCTTTAAAAAAAAAATCCTCAAGGTTTCGAAGTATTCAGTAAAAATAGATAAAACTAGATGCTATGAACACAAACATCAAACATATCGCTAGTTCCATCCTACCTATTTGCTAATGATGTACAATTGAATTTAATGCTTATACAGAAGCTTTCTCTAATATCCTTGACACAGCGCTTCCCAATAAAGTTTTGTCATGGAATTGATGCAAGGGTTCCGTGTGAGAATTTAATATCGGGTACGGTAGTAAATCAAGTCTCGGAAACCCTTATGGATGTTCCGTGATTTAAAGTAATACCGCCAAGATTTACTGAAAAATTCTACGACAGCTTGTATTTTACTTTCCTGATAACAGAGGTGGCATCTCTAAATTGAGTTTTGTGAAGGTTGCGTATGGACGAATTTGAACTTGCACTTGGACAGCCAAGTCCAAGTATTTGGTTACATTATCCTAGTAGGAAGAGACTCCCTGCTCCAGGTAGCCAACAGCCACCATACATGGTACTTAGAATCGCCTCTACCACCAGGAGGCCCCCCTCGATCTGTGCTAAATTCAGTCGCTCAGTGGACTAAATTCCCAATGCTCAAGTTGGGGGCTCACAGCATCCACGGCACTAAAGCAAGGACGATAGGGCCAGCCCAGTATTTGGTTACATCAAGTGGAAGGACCAAGAGTAGCGTATGAGGAAGACTATAATTGCACACCACAGATATGGCAGTTTTTTTAAACTTGAGAAAGAGCCATACCAAAACACTCTAAATGTCACAATACACATATGGTGAAAGCACTTTAGGCATCAACACTGCTTTATCTGTGCTTCAGCATTTCAGTGAAGGATTAACTTCAAAGCGGTAACAAGGAAGTAATCGATAAAGAACGTTCGGCAAGTAGTTACGACAACATGACAACATTTAACCATTTCCGTAAATTATGAGGAAAAAAATTAGTGGATGTGGTCAAGAAACAGTGGTTTCTTCCCAGAACAATACTTATCTGCATGTTGCTACTGTGGTTTTGGCAACAGTGTCTGAAATCTATCTATCAGCACTAGAAACTCTGTGCCGCCCATTCGCGATAGCGGTTAGCTACGCTGATTGCCATACCGAAGAGCTCGGCTTCGAATCCCGTAGAAATCATGGATGTTATTAAATGTATAGTGTGTGTATGCCATGGGGGTACTCTAAATATCCAGCGAGCCGAAAGTCCTCTCGAGAGGTTGATGGAAGGAGAAGAGCGGTGGGAGATCCTCGAAGCCGTTCCCCCGGGTACTCTTATATGTTTGTAAATTGTGCATTTTTTGCTTTAAAAATGACTGAATTATGTTTATCTTATCTTCCGGTTAAGGCCTTTAGAAACGCTGCATGCAATATTTGTGGAGTTATTAACAATTTAAAAGTTGTTTAAGTGCAGCTAAATGAATTTTGCAATAGCGGACATGTTTGTTTACATTTCAAACTTGGCAAAATAGCGGATTTGTTGCCATTCTAGAGAAACTAAGCTTCGGAACAACAAAGATAACGCCTTCTTTTATTATTGCAAATTAAATCATGCTTAATCCAGTCTGGAATTTATTCGAGGAAATAAGTGTTCCAGATTTGCTTCGTAATTTTTAATATAAATATTTTGAGGTTTTATGTAGTTTTGCCTTGTCGCGAAGTGAGAACTGAATTAATTGAATGAGAAATACTAAATCGTCTGTTAAAAACTGTTTCTTTTTTTGTTTTGTTTGCTTAATTTCTTTTATACGTCGTTTTAGATTTATTATAGTATCTGAATA